AGTAAACAGTGAAAAATCGCCATAATATTAATGAGTCCTATAAGGTTTAATTACTTTTGGTACAAATTGAAATTAAAAAGTAAGCAGTATGCTAGAAAGAAAGATTAGGGGAGAAATTTTACTAATTCTTTTAAGAAAAATATAAAAAATCAAACTATTACATACACTAATGATGCCTAATTAATTTTAGTAAAAAGTACTAATTAAAATGAAAAAAATATGTTATGCACTATAAAGCAAAATTAATAGAGAAATGGTACTATATCAATTAGGAAAAACGTAAAAAACCGCCATTGTTATTAATGCTATTGATGCTTAATTAATTATGGTAGAAAATTAATTTAGCATCCATTTTATTTTCATTTTGGTTAAAGCAGCTAATTGAAATTGTAAATGAGCTACGTTAAAAGCTATATAAACGCTAAAATGTACTAAACCGTTTGAAAGAAGTGAAAAAAATTGCCAAACTGCTATTGATGCCCATGTTGCTCAACTAATTTTGGTAATTAGTACTAATTTAAATAACAAAAAATAAGCTACATACTACGTACTATAAAGCAAAATTAATAGAAAAATGGCACTAATTCGTTTAGGGGAAATATGAAAAATTGCCATATTATTATTGACGCCAATGATGCTTATTAACTTTGATAATTAACTTTGGTAATACGCTCCACTCGTGTTATGGTGATTGGTTCAGTTATAAAGGGTACCAAAAGTCTAAACATAGGTAAACTGCATTTCAGTTGTATATTTGATACCTATTAAAACTGAATCAGTACTGGGAAGATTTAATACAGATACTGTGAAAAGAGGTATTTTACGATTCCTCTAAAGGGATAAGTACCAGAGATAATCGTGGTAAATTTTGATTATTATGAATTGACCTCGAGCAATAGCAACATGCCAAATGATTCTGAATACAGTTATTTTGATGTGATGAACTACTAAAAGCATGTTTTGCTTTAATAGCGTAAAACCACCTGAGGGGACAAAATATAATAATAAATTTAAAAATTGACTTTATTATTAATTATGTTGCTATGTCTCTATCAGTTCTGTGCAGGATTTCTTAGTGTTGTTCATTTCTTATATATTGATTGCTTACTTTTTTCCACCCCATACGATTAACGAGTATTCAGCTAGTATAGTAATAAATTGATAATCTTTCCTATAGTTATTTACATAAAACTAAAATTAAACTTGAAATGGGATTCACTTTAACATCCTCAGAATATTGCAGGAAGAATTACAACCTTGGTTCAAGGAACTGATATCAGTCATTATGAATCCATGTTAAACCAGTTTTTATGAAAATGTAGATATTTAATTCATTTTCCACATAATTCGCCGTTATAATATTTCATTTATCTTACCCAGAATAATTTTCGGAAAATTATTAAATTTTAATTAACGAAAGTAAATTGAAAACTTTTCTTGATTTGAACTTTGATCCGTTGTGTAATTCATTTCGATAAAATAAATTTTGTAATTTTCTCTTACTCTTGATAATTTCCAAATGTTATTTAAACTATGAAAAATTCGACTAATGACCTACCTGTTCTATTTTTGTCCTCTACACTAAACACCTGTTCCGACCTCCATGATTAATGTGACAAGTTCCCAAAACAAAATGAGAAAAAAAAACCACAGCTGCATAAACAATAATGTACTCTTTCTCCATATATATATAAAAGATTATTTAACCTTGATTGTTTTTACTTTTTATCTTATGACTATAAAAAAATATCCTATATTAGATAATATCTGCACTTATAAATGATATACGAGAATAGCGATACATTCTACATTTATTAGGCAATATAATTGATTTATCTAAAATTTTTATTTATTTTATGACTTTATAAAAAATCCTATATATATAGTATGTGTGTAATTGATTAATTAAAACAAAAATACTATACTGCATTTATTCTGAAGGGCTATTTTTTCCTTCTTTTCTTACCTTCTTATATTTTTTTACTGATATTTTTTTAATATTTTTTTTCTAATTTCAATTATATACTACCAAAATTCAACTATACGCTGGGTTTTCAAAAAAAAAAAAATATATATATATATATATACTTTCTTTGCATTGCGTGACTTGCAGGATTTTTCATTTTATGTGAACAAACGTTTTGTCAGTTGGAGAAGTTGATTCTTTTGATTTTGATGTTTCCGTTCTTTTTTTTCAATTATAAACAAGTAAAGTTTTGTTTGACAAGCGTTTTGTTAGATGGTGAAGTGATTCTTTTGGTTTTGATTTTTCCGTTTATCTATCATTAATAGTGTAGTTTAGTCTGACCATTATGGATTCTACTTAAAGGAAGTGTGTAATATTATGTGTGCAAGAAAAATATAACAGCGTAGTTCCTGCAAACTATCTAAAATCAGCTTCATAAATATTTTGAATAATTTTTTTTACTTCAACAAAATGGTTCAAAAATCTCCAAACGTGAAAAGAATGAACTGTTAGAAATTTTGGAGTGCGTTTAACCATATTCTTACGCAAATTTGCCGTAACCTCAATAACGGAAATAAGTTAAATCCAAGAAAATTAAATCATCTTAAATTTGATTACTATGGTGTGACCGAGTTCAATTTAATTATCAAGGTACATATCCACGATATTATGGTTCTAGATTCTAATATTATGGTTCAACGTTGAACCTATTTTTTGGAAAATGTTAATAGAGTTTTTCATACGAAACATTCAAAAACATATTAAATACAGACTTAGCTTTAATATTAAAGAAAATCTAAGTTAAGTGTCAAGCAGCATGAATTACCAGAAATAAAAGCTTTCCATTTTTAATTGTTTAATGAGGTATTTATAGAGAAAATTGAACAGTAGTATAACAATTTATATTAGTTGTGTTGTTCTCATAGTAAATTAAGTTGCATCAAAATACTTTTCCTAGAGTAATTTGTGCCACTTACAAATTCAATTCTTACGAGTTCAAAATTATAAGGTTACGGAGTTGAACATTAGTAGTCGTAAAATCAAAATTGGCTGTTCAACAACGGTTATAAAATAAAATGAAATTACAATAAGAGTCTGTAAAGTTATTTTTACAGTCAAATAAAAAGCAAGAATCATTAATTTGGAATACCTACATACACTAATTCTTAAAACAAAATTTGTTTTTGAATCAAACATTTGCGTAGCACAGGGTGAATTTTAAAACGAATTCGAACTAACCTGACACAACGAAAGAGGTTAGAAGTTATATATTATAATATCAGTTAATACAATTCTCACAGAGTTTAAAAAATTAAATATAATTATCTTATTTACGCAATTAAAAACATACATATATATTTAACGACGGTTTTTTGTTTCTGTTAATGAATATCAGCGTAGAAAATGACAAGAAACTCTCGCCGTCTCATTCCAAATTGTAAACAAGCTACATGCAAGCTACTTGGCATTTTTGGGTAGTAAAAATGTGCAGCATTAGTGCTTTCGGAAGTGAAAATAATTCTCGTATGCTATAAAAGCGTGGGAGTTTTGCGTAAGATTATTAAATATTAAGTGTTTAGTTTTAAATTACACTCTTTAAATCGAACATGAACGCGTTAACTCAGAATTAAGAGTTCCTTCAAATAATCCTTTTGGTAATTCAATATCATTATTCGGAGAAATATTACACCACAGTTTTTACTGTGTAGTAGTGCACCAATTTGCATAGGTATTTTAACAATTTCTATAGTATTTCGTTGCACTCTGAGAATCGTGATTAAAATTTTTAGTAGAACACTCCGTGTGGCATAACTTTTAATTTTAATACTACTTCTCGTAGTATAAAAAAATTTTTAAACAAGAAAAAACTTCAAAACTTATTTTCAAGTTTTTGACAATCGAAAAATACTATAAAATATATCGAGGCCTTACCAAATAGAATATTTCTCTCAAGAAAATCAGTTTAACTTTGAACTATAAAATCAGTAACCGGTATCGATAATATTAATAAACTATCGGTAATAACGGAGCGAATTTGCCTTAAATAAGAATTAAATTGAACCATGTTTGCGTTTAAGTTAAACCATAGTAAGGGTAATATGCTTACGAAAGATTAATTTACCCTATAATACACTGTTAGAATTTTCATTCTGAAATTACGGTAAAATAACCAGCAGTAGTCAGTTCATCAGATTAACCATAAAGTTTATAAAACTACGAAACTTTACGATTTTGAAGCCGTTTACAACTGGTACGATTAAAAAACCGTTAATACTAAACTATACGATAACCATTTACTACTAGCATAGTTTCTAAACCATAAAAATAAACAGTTATTGGAGTTCTGTGGTTGTAGTTTATGCATGAGTGACAGTTCCGTATTCTCATAGATTGAAGAGAGCAGAACACTAGAAACTGTATTGAAGGTTCGTCGATTAGCCCTCTTAGCTACGTATATACCACGGAACAAAATGGCTTCAAAGTTGGGCCTAGTTGATAGAATTATGGTTGTTAAACCGCTGTGGTAAAAGCAATCAATAAACGTTTTTTCTAACACTTAACAATTTGAATATCATCGTTTTTATGGTCATTTGACTGTTTTATTTGAATACTGTAAAATAACAATTAAATTGCTATTTAACCATTTTTATCGAGAAATTTTCAACATTGTATGGTTCACCTTGGTATCACATTAAAGTTGCATACACTTTAACGGCGTTAAGTTTTAAGATGTTTTATACTTTCTAATAATTTAACATTTAGTTTTGAAATGGATTGTTATTCCTTATTTGTCAGAATTTAAAAATTTCCTTTTCTACAGTTTCTTTTCGCTAAATAAAAAATATGGTGAGCTAAAGTAATAATTTTTGGTTTTTGAAAAATATAATTCAACTAAACACAATAATAAGAATATTGCAGCAAATTTAAACAATTTTTATGATTCGACAGGTTCTAAAATTTTTAACTTAGTAAAGAATGAAAAAAAAAATTTAATAAAATTGTGTTAAAAAATTTTTAATTTACTTTTTTTCAGAATGTTTCAACTCACAGAAGGAGAGAAAGTTATTGTACTGTCAGTTTGTATCGGCTTGCTTATTTTAACCATAATCATCACCTTTTGCGTCGTGTCTCCATCTTGCTGGCTGCATGTCTGTTTGAAAAAGTTTTCTAGTAAGAATGTTTTGATATATAATAACCATTACTTTCAAATCAAATGTTTTTTATTCTAAATGATTTTTATATCTAAATGTTATAGTTATGTGTACTATCTTTTAATATAATTGCAGTTAAGAAAATTTTATTGTCTGCATAAGTGTCGAAAAATAGTTTAATATTTTTTGACACTTATTACTATCCCGCAATGGATTGATCTCAAAGAAACGGTTTCCAGTGGAACACCGAAGTCAAGCAACATTGGTTGTGGTTAGTAAGCGGGTGGGTGACCATTTTGAACAGCCGATCATTTTGATCAGTAGGGAGTGTGCGGCATCGGTCCTCGTTAAACAATTCTACAGTAAGAGCTCGACTTACGCGCAGGTCGTCTGGCTACCAAAGTTGAGGAGACCTCCCCTCTGTAGAGTATCCAAATTGTGATGCATGTCTTCGGATCATCCTCAGGATCACTCTGCTGATTCTGTCGGTCATGAGATAGACAGGTTAGCCGTCTCGGCTATAATACTTACCCAGCAACTAGGAGCGAAGTGGCTTTATTATATGAGCCGAGTTGTGTGATAAAATTCAGGTTGTGTAACCGTTTTAGGTGAAAGCAGTTAATAAACGGTTTTTCTCACCGTTAAGAGTTTGGATACCATCATATTAAAAGTTATTTGGCTGTTCTGTTGGAATATGGTAAAATAACAATTAAATAAATTGTTATTTAACCATTTTTTCGAGAGATTTCAAACAATCTATTTAACTTGGGTTTTATTTATTAATTTACTTTTATCGAAAATATTAAATATTTGGTTTACTTAACACACATAATTTAGTATCAAATAAGACAGCTTCTTAAATATATTTATATATAATAATTGTGGTTATTTTATCTCAATAGGGATCATCTGGTAAATGAATATTTTTTATAATGTTTTTAATTCTACAGATACTTGCATATTACTTAATAAACTTCATGTTATGCATGATATAAACATGAAATATTATTATCAATTCTAACTTAATCTATCGAATTTTTAATCTAGAGAATCGCTAATTTAATACCTTTTTTTCCTTGTAGACATTTGTTCATGTTAACACAAATAACAATAACCAAATACTTTTTTAAAAAAAGTAATACAGTTTAAGTTGACAATAGCGTATGTTTTATCTAGAACCTATATTATACTTTTTTCCTCATAGACATTTGTTCATAAACACTATTCATGTTAGCACAAATAACAATAACCAAATACATTTTTAAAAAAAGTGATACAGTTGACGTTGACAGTAGCGTATGTGTTATAAAGAACCAAACAAAAAATATTTAACGTGCTTTTACTACGTATTTTCTAAATAGTTATTATGTTACATTTTTAATAAAAAATTTTCGTATTTTTAACTCAACAATTGCATGCAATGTAACGTTCCTTTTTTACAACTTCTAAGCAATTAATGTGTCAATCAAATGACTTGACACAAAATTATTTCAACATTAAAAACTACTATATAAAATGGAAATAATAATGAATAATTCCTAAAAATTGTATTGATAGTGAAAAAATAGTTTCAGCTTTATCATTTACAATAAAAAAGGGCATACGATACCACACTCTTAGTAAAATCTGTTCAGCGTTGAACCATAATGCGAGGCAAATTCTGCAACTTTAATAAGGTGCTAAATTCAGTTCATGTTAATAATGGGATCGTATCATATCAAAGTTACAATAAATTGTTGTAGTTCAAAGAATTTTAAAGTTTCCACTAGTGTAAAAAAGTTTTCATTTAAATGTTTATATTTTTATATCGAATGATGAATATATAATTTTTTTCTAAAGAAACTCTATTCAACCATTTTTTAAATTATTTTTAACTTTTTGACAGAAATATTGATGCAACATGGATAGAGACAAATTTTCAATGGAAAAAATATATAGATTTTAACTCAGAATATAAAATCTGAAATCAAAAGTTAAAGGCTTTTAAATACTCAAAAAAGAAATTGCGATTTGTTTAAAAATAGTAAAACAATGTATATAAATTTCAATATTAAAGTGCATGAGCTAGTTTGAATGTAAAAATAAAGCTTACAAATATTATCCCGAACTAGGCTCAGTCTAAATACTAAAACAGTTTTACATAAAAAGAAACATTTCGTTTATATAATATATTTAATTCTAAAAAGTCTAAATTATTAGCCCAATAGCGGAAGGCCTGCAGCGAGCACTATTACAACATCTACTATTTATTTTTCATTTAAGTTTTTGTTTTGATTTTTAAAAAGCAAACAAAAAGGGGGAAATATCCTTCTGATTAAAACATCTTTGAATTTGCATCTAACGAAAATTAAAAGGTTGAATTAAGAGAACACAGCAAAGAACAAAAAGTGAGAAAAAAAATTCTGTTATTTGATTACAGGCTTGACTGTAAAGAGTTTATTCCAAATTTTTAGTATCATTTTATAAAATTCAATCAAAATTTAAATATTTTATATATGATTTTTAAGGATCTTTTAATTACAAATTTTTAACGATGCTGAATTTTTACAATCTCTGCCTGACTGCGTTGAGACAAATTTGGGTTTATGAAACTGCAAATTCACTCCATAAGTTCTGTTACCTGTATTATTAGTGAATGTAACATTTCGAATTAGTTTTAAACAAACTAAAGCAATAATTAAAATTTGATAAGCTAAACACCCAATTTTCACGTTTTTATAATATAAAAAGCACACATTCCCATCATCACCATTCAATCATACTCTAAATAGCTTAGTTCAGTTGAATAATACTATCATGCCTTTAAATCTTCTTTTGAAATGAAATGCAGATAACAAAACCCTTCCGTTGTCCCAGCTTCCGACATTTTGTTCTTCAAACACAATTCTATTCAGAGATAAAGTGTATAAGCAAATAGTATTTCCTCATCATTTTCACGACTGCAGACGCGTACACCTTTTTGAATTATTTTGAGGAAGTGGTATTATATGATGTTATTCACTAATCGATAACACTTTCAGAAAACAGAAAACTTCATAAATTCTAGTTTTAAAGTAGAATAGTTCTCTCTATAGAACTCTGAATTTTATAGTATTATACTTCTCATAAGATTGTCGAAGAATTAATATCTGTTATTGAGTTTGTTGGCATTTCTCAAATTTAATTTCACATGCATAAAATTTTAAATTATTTCATTGATATATATATATACTTAAAAAATACTTTAGAGTGTCTTCAATGTTTATTTTATTTTATAACTTACATTGAACAGCCAGCTTACTTTTTGGGTTTACAACTATCAACCCATAGTCATGTTATTTTGAATCGAACCCAGAAGACAACGGAACTCATGAACCAAGCACTGGGACAAACTAGCCTTCAAGAAAGACATTTTGATAGAACTAACCCACATTTACATTACATGGAAATTACAACTGCGAAAACCTCTCAACTTCTCACAGTTAGCCCGACGGCAAGAAGATTCTAACTCATGATCCGTCTACCAATGACGGTCCTATTCTGAACTTTTTCATGATCTCAAGTTCCGATCCGCGTTCGAGAGAACCTTTATTTTACGAGCGAAGATCGAATTCGCGGATTTGTATTCCCAGTAGTTTTTGAAAACAGAAGCATCTTCGAACTAGGGTTTCTCGATTAGAGTTTGAATCTGAATCTCAAACGTGAACAGCATCCAGTGAACGCTTGTTAACTTTGCTTCCTACGTGCATGGTAGACGCTGGCCGCCATTTTTCCGAGCCGCCTCGCCTTATACAAGAATCGTCGTTTGAAATATTTAGTAGTTAAGCATAATTAATAAGTATTTTGTTATTATTAAAAGAATGAATTACATGTATTTTGTTAAACTGTAGTTTAAAAAAACCTAGCGAATATTTCGATCTGTTAGAAGTATTATACCAAGTCCACACAAACAAGTTGTTTACATTATCTTTCCCATTTTTTGTTGTTTAACTTTCTATTGAAATGATAATTTTGTCTAGCTGCTTTATCGCTTTGTTTTGTTGCTGTTTCTACTTTATATTTTTTGTAGCTTTAACTTTTTGTTTTCTCTTTCTTTTAATGTTTTGAGCAATCATGTGCAAATAAACAGCCAGTTTAATTTACTTTTTCTTGTTTATATTTGCACTTTTTGTATTTTCGATTTTGAATTTAATTTAAATTTCTTTTCTTTTTATTATTTTTTTCAGTTACTTTAGAATATAATTTATTTAGCGTTTGGTTTCGTTAAAAAGATTAAAATACTCCAAAGTACTAAACTATTACATTTTAACATCTATAATTAAAATAACAACTGAAGAGATTATTTGATAAAATAGACATGCCAAAATAATCTTTCAGCAGTGCATTAAGTGCTGATTCATGACTAGCTCATCTCGCTAGAGAAATTAACGTTGACAGACTCTAAATTTGAGTGTAAAATTTAAGGAATTATCTTTAATCCCTTTAATGGTGGTAGTCATGTTGATATAATGAAATGCCAAAGTTTATCCTGGTTATAGCGAAAGTAATTAGAAATACGATGTAGTGCCTTGATGAAAATTGCGATACAAAGCTAATTCAGTTATTTACTTTAGTGGTTTAAAGTGATTTCATTAGGTTTCAAAGGTCTATTACACACAAAAGTTTCAGTGGAGAGAAATTATTATTATTTTATGATTTATTATTATGATCTATTATTATTTTATGATATGTTAGTTGTTTAAAAATTTTGTTTTTAGAATTCAGAAAAGCATGAAAGCTTCAAACTTACAGAAAAATAAATAAATGCTAGTGGTCTTATTACTTTTTTTTGTTCATATTGGAGCAATATGGGGAGCTATTGAATCATTCTCTGGTCGTATTATCCCCCGTTTTGCTTTTATAACCAGCATTGATCAGCCGACCCAATTTAATGTTTACAACTATCAATACTCAATTTCGTAGCCTTGTAATTTTGGTCATAACCCAAAGAGAAGAAACTCCTGAATCAAGCATTGAGACAAACTAGCTTTCAGGGAGACTTTTTTTTTAGATGGAACTAGCCCGTCTACCACATTTTTGTTACATGGAGAGGAAGATCACAACAGACTCTCACGGTAAGTCTGACGGCGAGGGGACTCTAATCCATGACCCGTCTCTACTGAGGATATTTTTGGTTCAAATTGTGGTTGGTGAGATACAACAGCAGAACTCTTATGAACCAGCTATTGTTGGGATTCAAACCTGGGTCACCTTATTGGGAGGAACCTTTTCTTTTTTTACAAAAACTAGTTAACTAGTATTTTAGACTTGGAGTAACACTTTGTATAAAACGTTTCGTAGTTGCCTAAATCGTACATCGTGTGTAATCATAAATCGTACCCAACGAATGAATTTTAATTACTGAACAAGTCGATTTTCAAGCCATTCTAACTAAACTACACTCAAATTGTTGAAAAAAAGTAACTGGAAACTTTTTTGTACTAACTTTCACCCAATATCAAATTTCTCATCTCGAAAATCAGCCTTTTACAAACTGTTTTTTTTTTTTTTTTTTTTAAACTTGATGCATGAATTAGTCGGGGGAAAAAACGAAACTATTTCAGTAAATTCAATTACATTTAATTCCCTTATTGTAAGATTTATTTTCCGTATTTTATTAAAAGTAATGATTAATATCTAAGTGATTAACCTTCTGGTTGTCAAGTAATAATATAGTAATTATTGGTTAATATAGTAAGATTATAGACCGATATGTCCGAGTACCTTCTATTGTTGAAGGTTTCAATCGGACCAATTTTCCTATTTCTAATATCTAAGAAGAAGAAAATTGATAATAGATCCAAAAAAGGTGCAGTATTTGTAAAAGCCAGGCTTGAGCTTTGTAGTACGAAAGATTATATTCCATTAACATTTTAAATGTTTATAATACTGTTACTTTAATTGTAACACTTCAAAAATAAATTGTTTTGGGTTACTCATGATCTACTTATTTACTTAATCATAAATACTCAAAATTTTTGAGGTTAGTACGATTTAGGGAGCAGTTGGTACGGTTTCCTAAATCGTACCACTTGCACACCTTGTAAAGGTATTATTCCCAAAAAATATAAGTAGCTTTAAAGTTGTATTTTATTAACAAAATATTTCTAATGCAATTGTCAGTGATTTGTTGTTGTTGTTGTAGTTCATTTACGTCGCACTGGAGCTACACAATGGGCTATTGGCGTCGGTCTGGGAAACATCCCTGAGGATGATCCGAAGACATGCCATAACAATTTTGATCCTCTGCAGAGGGGATGGCACCCCCACTTCGGTAGTCCGACGAACTGCACGCGAAGTCGAGCACTTTGCGGTAGAACAGTTTAACGAGGACCAATACCGCACACCCTCGGTCCCTACGCAGACTGATCCAAGTGGTCACCCACCCGCACACTGACCGCAGCCAGTGATGCTTGACTTCGGTGATCTACTGGGAGTGTCTTAACGATCAGTCCACTGCGGGACGTCAGTGATTTGTGACAGATAAAAATTTAAATGAGAAAGTGGTGCCATTTAGGCACCCGTCTTATAAGACAAATTTCATAGAAATTAATTTCAAATCATATCTTGAAAATATTTGCACTCCATAATCTTAAATATCTCAAAATTTGACAATTTTTATAGTAGTGTCTGTTGCAAAATTTATTTATAATGATAAGGTATCGAAATTTCAACCAATTTTCTGAAAGCCTATTCTCATGTTGCATGCATGGCGTCTTTTAAGTAAAACCTGATATTAGTCTTCATAACAGCTCTTACAAATCAGCTATTACTTCCGAATATACGACTAAAACTCTTATGTAAGTTAAGATACAATATTTATTTTTACTGTATTTTCATTTACTTGTATTTCTATTTATTTTAACAAATAGAAACACAAGCAATTTACAATATATTACGTAACAAAATAATTTAATAACAATGTAATTTAATAAAAATATAATATATTTCTGCAGTATGATTAACAATATAAGTAGAATTACAAGAATAAATAAAGAAATCACAAGTAATTTTTTTTTATTTATTAGAAAAACGAAAACTCAAGTATGGCAATATCGATGGACTTGAAGAAGGGACATACATCAAATTGAGTGGAACACCACAATATACAGTGGAATGTGGACCGCCTGTTACTCGTAGTAACAGCAAGCACAATTCTCTTCATGGAGGTAAAAATGGCCGTAAAAGAGAAGATTCTACTTACAGTAGTATGTCTTCCAGTAGTCAAGGAAACGCTTCTGTTTCAAATTATGTAAGTCATTATATTTGTTTAAATTGGAAAGAAATAATATAAAATAAATTTCGAAATGATGACGCACATGCATAAAAATTTAAGGTTGTTTAAAGGCCTTTCTTCCCGTGGAATACCGTTTTTTTGACAAATCATATGCTATTTTTTATCTAACTATTGAGTTCGTAATAGTATTTGATATCTGTTAAATTTCGTTCGACTCTAGTCAGCGCTATTTATAATTATGAAAATTACACAAAATATCAATATGAAGAAAAGCCACAGTTTTTTGTAAATAAAAATTGTTTATAATCTAACTTTTCAATATTTAAAAGTTACTCCAATAGTTTGGTTACATCACCATTTAAAATCATAAAAATATGTCACATTTGGAAAATTTTTGGCAATTGGCGATATTCTTATAGAGATTCTTATTCTATTCTCATTATGTTTTAAACTTCAGACAAGTTTTTCCAGCCATGTATTATACATAATATTGCATTTACTTAATATTTTATATATTATTATTTAATATAATAGATACATATTATAGAATTTTATATTCAGTATATAATAGGACAAAATATTTAAAATAGAAGTTTCACTGACGTAATTTTATACACTTAAACTTAGACATTTTTAATAATAAAACTTATTTTCATAATTATTTATAAAGCAAAAGATGATTCTGTAATTATCTTTAAATTTAATACGCATTTAAAGACATTATCTATTTTATTTTTCTAATCATAAAAAACCTTACATAGGTCCATAACTAAAACAAATCAGTTTATAAATTGAAATGCTAAGTTCTATAGCTTAAATTAAGTTATTTGTAGCTGAAAGGTATAACCAATAATTGTTTGATTTAAAAATCGAATTTATTTCGGTTAATCCGACATTATTTATACTATTCAGAAATTTTGTTGAAATGACCACATTAGTATTTTATAATTTATTTCTTAAATTTTTGACTGAAATAACTACGTATTGTAAACTAACTCGAAAAATTGTCAAAATATTACATTTTAATTAGTTAAAAATATAATTAATGACAAATGTAAGGTACTGTAATGGCTAATTTAAGGTAAATGTAAAATTATGACAAACGTATACAGGAAATTGCCTTTAGTTTTACAATCACGGATTTACAAAATTTTAATGCACAAAATTCAAAAATATTATGTTCTTAAAACAAAATTTAAATTTTGTCTATGAACAAGAATTTCTGAAGTTTTTATTGTGAGCTGATAATGTATAAGAAAGAGCTTTGAAATAAGAATCGTCAGGTTTAAAAAAATATTTCTGTAACGGTGCACATAGACAGTCATCTCTAAACTGTGGTTATATTTTATAAGTTTCTTTGAATTTTAACAATTATCTATAAACTGCTCGTGAACCATAAAAAAATTTAGTTAAGATCTCATATATGTAATAAATAAAGAACAATTATTTGAAAATGGAAAGTTGTTAGAACATTTTTCCAAAACTTAAGTGTTGACCTAATTGGCACGTTTCCAAATCTGTACTTCTGCCAATTTGGAAAATATTTCGTTTCAAAAATAGTTATGGGTGGTTCGTAGTACATATCATATGCATGAAATATGAAGTATTAGTTAAAAAGCCTGAATACTAAAGTAATAGTTTTTAATGTTGTTATTATTGTAGACAGCACAAAAAATAAATCATCGTTATTTTGATTTTTTTATCATACATATCATATTTACATAATTATGTTTATCTTAAAAATATTTTTTATGATATTCAATTTCAACTTCATGATTTTCGTGCAGAAGCACGTCAATGTTTAAAAAATAGTTAGAAACTATTATAATAGTTTAACTACTGCAGTGCCAGAAAAGAATTCTTGGCAAGGTAAATAAGAACAAAAGAGAAAAGATTTCTCGCCGGCATAGTAGCAGGATCAATTACTGCGCAAAATAAAGTAATGGCTTAACACATTTTTTTACAAAATATGTATGTATTTTGTTTAAAAAAAATGTGTTACGCCAATGATCTATAAAAATGATTTAACACAATTTACATTTCTTATGCATCAAGTTTTAAAAAAATATTACAAATTTAAAGAGATATAAACTAGAATACCTCTTCGTGGCAAGTCATTTAAAATGCCAATTACAATGCCATTTTTGTAATAATATAAAAATTTTAAATTTCGGTCATAAACACGTTTTAAAAATTTATGTTACATGAAATATTTTTAAAAATATGCAGTGCTCTCAAAAAAAAAACTTTTTACAAGTTCAATGCAACTACAAGTGTAAAAATTTTTTTTTTGCCTGGCCCAGCAACAATAATTTAAATAATAGTATAATAAAAGAAAGGGTATATTTTGTGCTACGTATGAATGAAGCAAAACTACGTAAATAACGCACACATAAAAGCACAAAAATAGACATATTATAGTTATGGTTCTAGTGTCGACCTTCCTCCGTGTCAAAACACAGAATGACAGAAGTTAATAAGGAGACAAACACATTCCAATAAGTGAACGTGGTTAACCAATAGATAAAGGGGAACAAGCTTGAACAAGATGAGAAACGAAGAGAAACGGGTGTGAGAGGACTGACTTCAATAGTTAATCTCTAACTAGACAGATCCATCATATCGATATGTTACCGGAAGTTTACTGTAATGAAGTTTCCAAGTCACCTTCAAAATGTTAAAATACTAAAATTGTATGTTTGTAACGAATTAAAAAATTATTAGCCATCAGCTGTTGCAATCCGGTTTTTTTTTTTTTTAATTCCTACTTTAGTTAACAATATTACACAAAAAAGAGCAAAATGAAGGGCGTTCTTATTTATCCCTGGTATAAATACAAAAAGTAAAAATCGAACATCATTTTATCTTATAATTTTAATTGTTTATGTAAATAAAGCATACATCTGTAGTCAACCCTGAGCCAAGTGATTTTCCGCTTTACAGAAAAAAAAATTCTGGTTTTTAGGGACACAGCAAGCACAATTCAAAAAAATAAGCCTTTTTTATGATCACAAATCAACCATACTCCCTCACTTTTTGACAACTTAATATTGACTATGAAGACAAAAAAAATTGTACTCTATTAAAGTGGAGTCTTTTTTTTATTACTATTTTAACTTTAAATTTATGTATTTGCTTTAAACGAAAAGGTCGGTATAAAGACAATCCCATCTGCCATAGTAACGGACTGTTATATGGAAAAGATTAAAGACATATTCATTTGTATCCTTCGCAGAATAATATAATGCTTATATATAACAGTCATTATTCTTTTTAGAGTGAAGCTTCTATTGATGCTCCTATAACTGATATCGAACAAGATGCAAATTATGGACAAGTAACTTTCAGTAGCTGGTGTTGCATGCCTGATGGTGCTAATATGGGAAAACTGATCGTGGTGCTAAAGGTTAATATTATTTTAAAATACATTTTTAAAGAAATATGCGATTCTAAAAACAAAAAGTCGTAAGTCTCTATAATAAGATTTTTTTCCCTATAATATGACTTTATGTTGAAAATCAATAGGGGCTAATTTCACTAGCTAGAAATATTTGAATCATTCCTAAAAATCAAAATTTTATGAAACTTAAAAAAGTCTCAAAAATATTCAGAACACCTCATTTTTATATATTTTGCTATTATATGATTGCTTAAAAAAATTGTGAAAGCAACTAACGAACATTTAACAGTGAATTAAACATAATGGATCTCAAGGCTGATATCATAATTAAAATTATTTTTAAAATTTTAAACTTATCAGCACAACTGCCAATACTTTTTATTTTGCTGTTATAAGTATTAAAAACTAATGGAGTTGCCTCAAAGCTTCACTTAAATAAATCAACAGAAGACCTAAATGTTAATTCAAAATTCAACATACGTCCCATAATGGAAATTTAGTTTTGCTCCACATTGCGACACATTTCTTTTCTTTTTATTATTTAACATAGTAATTAATAATTTTTTTAAAAAAAACAGGAGAGTTTGCAATATCCAGCTTTAATATACATGTTTAGAATTTATACCGAGAACGAACAAAAAAAGTATAAACATTAGAACCCGCAAATTTATATTTATACGAGTCAGTTACAAAAACGCTATCGAAAGCTGTCAAATCACTAGTGAGTGTTGAGTCACTAGACAAAACTAAAACTTCACAAGCAGTACGCTGATTGTGTCTCTAATGATCACCTTTACACTCATTCAATGATTCTTGATGATGAAAAAGTTTAATAAAAGTACAACTTAAAGGCGGTCTTCACGGAACACCGTATATGCCGACAGGGTGCCCATATTGGATGATTTCAAAATTAAAATTCTCATAAACCAAAGATAATAGAGGAATGAAACAAACGGTATGTTTATTGTGATAGCTGTAAAAGTTTTATACATATATTCGATTGAACTAAGTGTGTTTCTGGTATTGGAATATCAGTGATTGGATTACGGAACGGCAATTGTGTGCTTTTTAAGAACTCTGTATAGCACCATCTGTTGATAAAGTTTGTAACTAACTTCCAAAATTTCTGTGCAAAATTTTCACAACATTCACAATATACAAACCGTTTGTTCCCAAAAGATGTTTTACAGAGACCCTAGGGTTCAGTGGTAGGATAATGAGAGTTCCGAGAGTTAGGTTGTTTTTTAACCAATTATAATTATGATTATATCCAATCAATAATCCATAATTTATTTAACATTTTGGTTTGTTTACATGAAACTATTTACGTAAATGCCGCTGAAAAAAAAGTGCAATATTTAAAATAAATTTCAATAACACTATAGTATTATGAAAAGGATAAGTATTTATAAAAATTTCCATCTGCATTTTTCATTGAACGTTTCAATTCAAAATAAAATAAGTAAATTCAAAAATACAGACTTAATTTCTCTGATAACTATCCTCAACGTTTATAAAACATAATTAAATGTTTTAAAACCATAATTAAGTCTGCTTATTTTATTCATTTTTAGCATCATATGCATACACGAAGAAGAAATTCATAATTTTAAAATATTTCACTCTTCATATTTAATATTTTCAAAATAGTATTATATAATAGTAGTAGTATTAAATAACAGTATTTTCTTATAATAAATTCACAGCTGCTTATGAATCGATCATTTAGGGTTCCTTTGCCAAAAACAATTGGGAACCACTGCTTTATTCAAAAGATTCAGAGTTTATTTCGCGAAAGATTAAATTTTTACAAATATTTTAATGTTAACAGGAAGCTCAGGATTTACTACCAAGATCTTATGGAGGTGCATGTGATCCTTACTTAATACTCCAATTGATCCGTGATAAAGGACGGAAGAGATGGTCCAAGCCTAGTACATCTGTCATTTATGAATTCCGTACCAGTTCCAAGAAAAAGACGCAGCATCCTATTTTTAAAGAAAAGTTCAGTATGGATATAAGCAAAGCAGATTTGAAAGAGGATTCGTTAAAAATATCGGCGTTTGATGATGAAAAATATGCCAATGATTCAGAGCTAGGAGAAGTAACGATTCCTCTTCGCGCATTAAATTTTGATAAAAATGGAGAAGAAATTTGTAAAACACTCGATTTCTTGGAACCACGAAAGGTAACAAATTAGTTTTGTCTTTGTGTGTATATTATTCTTGATTATTAATTCATTCTAATGTGAGAAAAGCTCAAGTAAATACAGATTTTTATTACATTTTCAAAGTAAAATAATGTTCTAAATTTAGAATATGTTAGAAGTATGCATATTTTTCTTACATACAAGAATGTATATGCATGCAATCATAATTCTTTTATTGACACGAGTCATAAAACCCTAATAAATTTTTATTACTGAAAATTACATACGTCAAAATCAGATATTTTCAACCAGAAATATAAAAATCCAACCATCACCACCATGGGAAGCACAGTATAGCCTACATTGTAACAAGTTTTTGAGAAAGGAGAGAAACAACTAAAAATGTTCCAAAATTATTATTCCAATATAATGAATAATAACTAAAGTTCTTAAAAGTTGAGAAAAAAACGAACGAAACAAAATTATTATATTTTATTTTATAATCGCCACTGAACAGTTAATGACTATATCAATGTTCAACACTGTAGCCTTGCCATTTTAAACTCCTGGCTTAAGCATTGGGTCAAACTAGTCTTCATACAAGACTTTCTGATGGAATTAACCAGCATATGCCTTACATGGAGAGGAAAACCAAGAAAACCTCCCACGGTTAACCTGGCGACTAGGGGATTCTAAAAATACCCCTTTTGTTAGCTGAATTATTAGGTCTGTTACAATCGAGGTAACAGTGCTAGGTTATCTTCACAATTCAAAGCAAATGTTAGATTCTTAAGTAAAGACCAACTCCTAAACGGAGACAAGTATAGCCCAATATTTTTTTAGGTGATCCATTGTCCTCTGGATTGGATCCAAATTACGAAATTGAACATAATGAGAGTCATACATAGAAAATTTAGGGTAATTATCAAATGCACAGTAATTTAAAAGCAAATACGTCTAAAGTTTGCAACGTTTTACAAGATTTACATCTATCACGTAAATCTTGCAATCGAACTCTCGTAAACCAAGAAAATTACAACACTTTTCATGTAAATCTTACACTCGAACTCTATCTCACGTAAATTATGTCACGTTTGACATAAATCTATAAATCTTTCAATGGAAATATCGACCACTTTCCTACTAGCTAGCGTTATTTTTACGCAGAATGCGTTATTTTTTCGTCTTCTAGAATTTACTGATGGTCAGAATTTTGACCACTTTCCTACATAAACAAACATACACAAATAAACATACACAAAACTAAAATTGAGAAAAATAAAAATTTAAGTAGACTGAAAAAGAGAAGAAAAAAATTTTAATTTTTTTGCACCTCCAAAACGAAAAAAGGAAAGGCGCATCTCTTTATTAATTAGCATCTTTTAACATCTGATATTCCCAACATTTATCGTTTTACAAGAGGCAAAAACGAAATTCAATTACTTCGTTTTATTCACTTGAAAAATGTGGCTGTTTTTATCTTATTTTTAAGTACATTTTTGTGAAAGGTGTAATGGAAAGTGTTTATCAACCTTCATGTAAAATTATTTAAATTTTAAAAGTATTGCAAAAATAAAATATAACAAACTTTACAGGAACACGGAGAAATTTTGTTTGGTCTTAGCTATTTACCGACTGCTGAAAGGTTGACTTTTACTTTGACCAAGGCACATAACCTAAGAATAACAGCAGATGAAATTGAATCTTTTGGTACGTATGTAGCTATGAAACATTTTTAAACATATACAATTTTGTATTTTAATTATGAACATTAGATAAAGCTTTTAAATTATTAAATAAAGATTTTTTTTAAAAAAAATTCATTATTAACTTATTCCGATGGATCTTCTTTGGTTACAAAAATATTCTAACTTTCAACAATGCTAAGAGTATCATTATAAATTTATTGTAATAAGTGGAAGGTCAAAATAACACCAAAACGATTGATTTTGATTTATGGTTTAGATTTGGATTCTTAAAAAGTGCTTTTAATAAATAGAATTTTGTTCCAACAACTACTTAAAAAGACGCTATAACGCAAGAAAAACTTTTCATTGCAAATTCTGCTTCAATTACATTAACAGGGGTAATTGTGAGCCCAAGTCAAAATTCCAGAAAATTTCTTGAGTTAAAAAAAAAACAGTTTAAATTGAAAAATTAGAAAAAAATTTAAACAAGGTTTTTTTCTTTTTTCTCAATATTTCTTAGTTTACTTAAAATATATTTAAAATTTCACACATACCTATGATGACCTGGAAAAGTAATTAAAATTTACAAATATGGCTTTCTTTCTTTAGTTTATGATTATAACAACTATTTACTGGAAAAAAATGAATATTAATCATGAATATAAGCTTATAAAGTATCTCTCTGAATCTTCCTTACAAACAAGTAAAATAAACTGTGTTTTTAAGTTCCACCTTTGAAAATTTGATTTCCGGAAACTTCCGTGATCAATGATTTTTTGAAAAGTCTGGACCTTCGATCTCCGGAAACTTCCGGATCACTGTTAGCGAAAATTCCGGAAATCCGGATTTTTTCCGGAGCACAATCAGCCCTGCATTAATTATTCAAAATTTAAAGTTTAGATAAAAGTTAGCTAAGATAAACCAGGAGCAAATCAAGAAATTTTAAATGCTGAAAAAAAATTTAAAAATACCAAAATGCAAACAAATTAAGACGGGATTACTCTGGATAGAGCAGTTGGAAAGTAATTTTAAATTGGGCCGGCCCTGTAAATTGATTCAAAATAATAACCAAAACGGCCTTCGGTCATCATGTTGATCATTAGCTTAGTACTGAGGACAGCTTTATTGAAAGATGCATATATTTCCTTCTTGCACATTGCGTCATTACGTTGGTTGCTGTTTATTTATTCTGTATTGTGTTACGTAGCAAAATTTTTCGGGAAATAACTTGGAATTATTTTATTAGTATCAAAAGAAAAAATAATTCAAATTCAATGATTCAAAATCTATTTTAAAAAAAAGTTTTGTTTGATATTAATATTTTATACAAAATTATTTTCTTGTTGTGAAATGGATTTTGAAACTGATTATACTTTCTTTCGTACAGCACCATTCATTCGAGTCTTACTTATGCATAATGGCAAACTGCTAAAAAAGAAAAAGACAACTTCAAGACAGTCCACGACAAATCCCGTATTTAATGAAACCTTAACCTTTGATGTCCCTCCATTACAACTCGATCATGTTGTCTTCCTGGTTGTTGCTAGTCATCGTGATCCTCAAGATGAATCTCTTTCTTCTCCAGATAGTCCCACATCTCCTCCTAACGGATCAAGGGCAAGAAAAAGCCGCCATATCGGGAAAGTTGTCATTGGTTCCTCTGTCAAAGGTTTGGCTCTTAATCATTGGAAAGCCATGAAACAATCTCCAAGGAAATTAGTCACCCAATGGCATACCTTAAGATGAAGAGACTGACTCAAGGGCATGGAAAATTTTCTTATTATCTATATTGTGATGTGAAACAAATCATATATTTTAAATCAAATATAAAACATGTGCATAGATTTAGATAAAACAAAGTGTGGTGTATAAATATGTTTAATTTATTTAAATACTATTAAGTAAACTGTAAAACATGTGATGAACGGTTTTTAAGAAACACATTATGTTGACAAACCACCGTACTGTGAAAAGTTGTACTTAATTGAAAGTAAATCTAGTCATTAGAGAATGGAATTATAATGAATTAGTTTTAGTGTATTAGCAAAATATTTATTTTTCTTTTAAGTGCTGTTTTTGAATAGTAGGTTGATTACCTTTACAATCGTTTCATAACAAAAGACTTTCCCTGTAATCTAGATATGCTTTTTCTTAAAATAAAAAAAATATTATTATTATTAATACCCTACTTATATTTACATTAGTTTAAATTAAAAAAAATTATCTTGAAAATTTTACTGACAATGTAACTAAAGGAGCTTTTTTAAATTATATTACTATTCCTATGCATTTTTACAATCAGAGAAATTTATTTTTGTTATTAATTGAAATAATTAAGAAGTCTGTGCTAATATTAGAATAAGTTTCATGATAAAATTATTAAGAGTATTCCGTTTGAATTTTTGTAACAAATGCTGAAAAACTACAAAAATCAATCAGGCATGATCTTAACCAACTTAAAAAGTCAACTTATTTATTAAATTTTTAGAATTTCTCCTTTTCTAACAAATATATTGCACCCAATAAAATAAGCTATTTCCAATTCAAAAAAAATACAACAAATAAAAACTTATAGAAAACTACGAAATTTTTCACAAATAATTAAGAGTAAAAAAAAACTTCATTATACGCCCATTCTCCTTTTGTTGTTTCGTTTATAAAGACACTCAGTACTTTGAACTAAAAAAGAAATGAAAGTTGGAGATTATATTCAATGATAATTATAAATTAAATGTTGCAAACATACTTAAGAATTTAATAAGTATATTAAAAGTCATACAAAATCAAATCAAATATACATTGTTTTCTGTTATGAAGAAAATGGAGCAGAAAAAATTAATAGCAAAAACTTAATCAAATTTGAACAAGCCACTACTGAGAAAGAGTAGGCTGAAAATGTCAAAACCTCTTTGATTGTCAGAGAAAACAGAGAGGCTATTATTAAAAACATCTACAAGTTTTATCAGGAAATCAAACTGGTTTCGGTGATTTGAGTACCGCCTTCATCAGTTGTGATTTATTAGAGTTCGTTTCCTTACTCAAATATTAATTATCACCCCCTAAGAATGAAACTTTATTAATAAGGATTCTAAAAATATATATTAAGGGACGCCATTAAGGAGTGTTCTATAGTTGAAAAATAGTATATGATGAACATAAGATAGCCTTTACATTTTATACATTCAAGAATTCAAAAAAAAAAAAAAAAAAAATTATAAAAATTAACATATAGAGGCATTTTTCAAAAGAAAAATAAGTCTCAAACTTTTAGCCTTTATTTACCTTAATTAACTTTTATTTTAAAAAAATCATACTAAATAAAATTTCCCACATAATTCCCAGATTTTTTCAAATAGACTTTCACTAATATCTTTTACATGAGTATATCAATAGTAAATGGTGTCATGTTACGTTTAATCTTATTAACAAGTATTTTTATCATGAACGGATTTTACCATGGACATAGTTAATATAGTTTGTTATAAATATACATTTCTGTTTCATGAGAGATATTTATAAGAATGGTGCTAAGTCTAAATTATATTTAGAGCAAAAACTCACTAATATAAATAAATATTTACATTAAATAACAAATAGTCAGTCAGGACTTTCTTTTCACATAAGATCAAATTTTATAAATGAAAATTAGCATGATGTAACAAGATGAGCTTTATTTCAAAAATTACCCAAATTATGCACTACTTATATATTAACCGCTTCTTTGTCGGTGCCGCATCTCATACGTACGGCGTTTTTGTGCCTGTATGGTCAGCGTCGGATGCCATGCGACGAAGAGAAAAATTACATCATTGAAAGTGAATTCGTCGATACTTACTCGTCTCTTTAAATCCCGCTATTGAATGTTGCTAATGTTGTATTTTGAATGTCACTAAGAGATGGTGCAACTAGTTATACTTTCTTCACGATTTTCGCAGTGAGATTTCCCGCCTTGAATTGAAATCAAAATCATTTCGTACTTTCTGCAATTCCGCTTTCATTAGAGATAAAATTATACATTAGTATTAAAATTAATTATTATTCATTAATAAATAATATTAATTAATTATTAATTGTTTCATTATTATTGAAATTATTTTCTAAAATATTTTTCACTTAATTTTAATAATTACTTTATACAGATATTTATCTTAAGCACCTTAATGCTATAAAGTTAATAAATATGTGTTATCACAGTGTAATTTTTTAAGATAAAACTTGGGTGCATTGCAGGGAAAACTGGAGATCAGTGAATGGGACATCACATATTTCACTACCAGTAGGTCATGCAAAAAACTGCTTGCTGACAAAAATATTTTGTATTTTCCAAGTGAGGATAGAACATATATTCATTTTCAGCAATAAAAACTTTTTTTGAGGGGGGTCGGAAATTCGAGGAAAAAATCCGACACAGAAAGGGTTAAAGAAAATGTATAGATTTGAAAAATGTATAGTATTCAACTCATTTTTCAAATTTAATCAAATTTCAAATATCAACTATAACTAAATAATTCAAGTTGAAAGGTAATTACTTAAAGAATTTTTATATAGAATTCTCTTAGCTGCTTCACACCAACAGTTGCTTCAAAGCCACATAGCTTTAAGATATTTTGTTCTCATTTGTTCATTTACTTTTTATAGAAATTGTTATTAAACAGCTGACTAATAATAAGTAAAAAAAAAACTATTTTTTTCTATTTTTCAATTTTGTGACTTAGTAGAGAAAGAACGAACATGAGAAAACTGAATTAAAAATGGAATTCTCTAATTTATGAAAACAATTAAATAAAATAGAGATTAAAAATTTAAAAAAAAAAATTTTTAAGTTTTTCTAATTATTTTTGACACAAACAATAAAACAGAAAAATCAGTACCAAAATATTAGTTCATCTAAAACAAATAAATTAGCGAACAGATAAATAAATCAGGTGGGAAAAGTAGAATCAATCTAACCCATGTTCGTAATATTAATAACAAGACTTGTTACACAAATTGTATTTCAAAAAATTAAAAATATCTTAGTCTTAATATTATTCATAATTTTAAAAAATTGAAAAGAACATTTTGCTGAAGATAAAATTCACAACGTTATTTAATATTATTTAACAAAATTGTGCTTTTAAAACAGTTCTAAAAACAAACCCAACCCTTTATATTTGTCAGTGAACTTCGTGTTTTTCTTTAGAGAGAAAATTTAAAGAAATTGGGCAGATAAAAGTGTCGTTTGGAAAAGCAGATACCAAGAAGGTTTGATTCTGATAGTAAGAATCATGTTGATCATAATCAAATCATGAGCACATGCACACTGAAAAATGATTTAAAAAGCATCGCAAAGTTTAAAAAAAAATTTTTTTAAATATCAGTGTAACAAAATACACATGGTTTCAAAAGCAATTTTAAAACTTTTGGTATTAAATTAGATTAAAGTGTGCAAACATATTTTTTCTTTTTATAAAGAAATATAAATTTTATTCCTAATTTTTCACATAAATATTAATGTTTGTATTATAGAATCATATATCTTATGATCAATAGTTAATGTCTGAAATATTTTGCACAACTTGTTCAAGTAGTTATGTATACATCAAAGCAGAATTCCAACACTTAAGTTCAAATAAATTTTTACAGATAAGTTTTTAATCGGAGAAAGGAGAGTAAAAATATCCAAAATCTGTACAAGTGTAAAGAAGTGTAATAAAAATTGGCATTTAAAGTTCATAAAAGATAAAATCCAAAATAAAAATTCATAAATAATATATTACTATAGTTAAATTAGCAATTATAAATATTATATATGGTAGAACATAAATAATAATAATAAAATTGATAAATATTATTCAATTTTTCTATAACTATATGAATATTATTCATGTTATTAAATACTATATAATAAATTTTGTGTTGTAAGTATGAATAATATATATGTTAACAGAATTAAAAAATACAAATGTGATTTAATAATGCTTTTCAAAATACAACAAATATTATCTTAAAAAGTTAGAAGAAATTAAAACAATGAATATAATTTAAAATAGTATAAGAAAAAGAAATGTTTGATTTCATAATAATTCAAAACAATGAAAAAGTGATTTCAGAACAATAAAAACGGGGCATTTTATAACAACAAATGCATTCAAACAACAACATGGTTTCATAATAACAAGAAATTTAACGAAAAAATCCATTAAATTTCTAAAAGAGTTGAAAAGACTTCCCTGTCCAGGGAAAAAATTATTTTATAGTTTTACTGTTTGAAACATTATGTGTCTTTGTTTAAAACAAAGTGAGTGAACAAAAACAAAACAAAAAAAGAAGAAAAAATCAATGTAAAACATTCTTAATATTGTCCTACATACTAAAGCTATACATGTGAAAATTAGCTCTAAATGTCTTCATAACGATTTATTTAATATTTTTTGTTTTATTGAGATGTTGAATGTTGTAATGGTAAAATTTTGTAAGCATGGCAGCCAAAGTTGTTCTGTGATTTTGTATATAAAATTATGTTTTTTTTCTTTTTTTACTGTATGTTAAGTATTAATATATATTATGCATGAAAAGTGATTTGTGAAATTATGAAAAACCAGTGAGAATATTCAGTGAATCTTATTGTTTGTGCAATATTGTAATTGTGTCATAGATATTATAAATAAAGAGTCTTAACTGTCCAAGTATTTAAATTGATTTTAGCTCATCATTCAAAAAAATATATCCTCACAAAATGGAATCAGTTTCAGTGCATAAACTTAAAAATCAGACTACTTTTAAATTTATAAGAGAGGATGGTGCTCATTGCTAAAAAAAACTCATTTCACTAAAATAAAGGAAAAAAAGCGAGAGAACTGGAGTTCGAATTCGACCGGCTGAAGATTCTCCGTGTAAGAAATGGTGACTGGTGCACTTTAAATCTGCCGGGTCCCAAAGTCCACCATGCTCCCATAACAAATCTCAGGGGGTACTGAAATGGAGATTTATCATTCTCTGGTTCAGATCAAAATTAAGATCTGTGGATGAATGAATGGCTGTATGAATGGGTCCATCCTATAATCGGGTGTGGCATATGGGTGTGACAGAAGTTGAATCCTTGACCATATATAGCACCACTAGAAAACAAGAACAATCTCACCTCCTCAGTCTTAATGGCAGACAACAACAAATGACAAACGAAAAAATTTATTGTTATTATTATTCCCATTTTACACATTTTAAGTTGTATAGATTGTTCAATTTCTTTGGTACAAATTAAATTTTTTGATTTAGAAAAGGGGAGAAATCATTAACACTTATAAGTAAGCTGTCATAAAATTCAGGTTAAAATATGTAGGCCTGTTACATGAAATTAATTGTATGAGTTTTGGCATCCTCTTGCATCAAGGTTATAGACAGAGTATATTTCACCTTATGCCATGACTGCTTGTAGGGCTTACAGCATCATAACGGAAACTCGAGAAGCCACTTTGACTATATTGACTATTTACACCATTTTATAGTATATGTAAAATACAATAATTTAGAAAATATGGCATGTTTTAAGGGTATAGAAAGTGATTAGCGTCATAGGATGCTAATACTAGTACTTTGACATATCAAGTTATCCATTTTCTAAACAATTTTAGAGGGTTCACAGCAACATCAAAATTCCAGTTTTCTTTTAAAAAAATCCCTAAGTATAGTATTTTTCATACTCAGTTACTTGTATATTTCATTAAAAAAAATAATTTAAAATTTTCTAAAAATAAGCATTATAAGTATCAATATAATTATAATGTTATCTAGTTTCTAAAGCAGCATTTACATTAATTAAAATCAAATAAAATTATTGTTAAAGGTAACACTGACAAGTGACTGTAATTTAAACATATATACAAATACATTTCCTTTTTGTTTTAACTGAGAAATTTCAATTTTTTTTTAACTAATTTTTTAATTAGTTTATTATGCAGTTTGCTTCACCTTGTGAACATAATTCTCAAATAATTTTCGCAATTCATTTGAGCTGATTTCTAACCTTTATGCTTTTGGTTTGATCAAATTTTATACTTATGGTTTCAAGTGATTTTCTACTTACGATTTAAATAAATATTCTACATTTGGTTTGACGAGAAAGTCTATTTTTATAACAGATAACTAATTTTGAATTTTGGTCAAAACTAATTTCTTTTTTATTTCGTTTACTTTACTTTTGATTAGGATTTTGACACAGTGCCTCTACATATGCTAAACAATATGCAAATATTTTTGGTCATGGTAGAAAGGTAATTTGTTATGCTTCAAAAACTACTAGCCCCAGATTAACTAAGGCCATGATAATAAGTATCCTCAAAACTAATCTTTTCAGAAGTTAAGGAATTTTATGTAAAATTCAATATTCAAATAAGAAGAAAACAAAAAGCTCGTGAAAATTTTTTAAAACTTCTTGACAACAATGCAATATTATGAGATGTACCCCTTAATTGAAAATCTGCATATTATATTACATAAAGGTAAAATATATAGAAAAAAAATCAACATTTTATATATAGTCTGCTATTGTAGAAAAGTGAATAAAGAAGATCTTGTCTTCTTTCAGTCAATATAAAATTACTTTTAGAAAATATTTAAACCATATAACAATATTCTTAAAAAAGATGAAATGAAAAAAACAATAACTACAACTACAAGAAGAAAGGAAAAATAGAAAAGTTAGTTCTAACGTAATATTAAATAATATTCCACATTCAACAAAACATGACGAAAAAAAATAAAAAATTAAACATTGGAATTTGAAAATTTTGATTTTTGAAGAACTTCTGTTATATTAGTAGCAGTATAGTAGTTTTTTCGACGAACTTTTAGTTTTTTTCACTTAAAGTCATCATCGAAACTAGAGAACAGGAACAAGTTTATAGGTCGCATACAACATTACAATGAAAGCTTATCTTGTTTTGTTAGCTACACACTTAAATATGACTCCAGAGCAACAGGCAGCATATATAAAGGCAGTAATTACAGAATGAAGAAGGGAGACAACAATTTATGCAAGATCTTATGCATCAAGAAATAGATCAAAAAGGCAAGTATCAAAGATTTCAACTACTTGCTAGAAACAGTGGTACTTTCTTAAATACTTAACTTTGCATTAGGATTCAAACTTTCAAAAACACTGCTCAATGAATACGAAAAGGCTCACTATTGTTGCTCGAAACATTTACCAACAAAAGGTTCCTCGTGGTTCAATAAATGCAGACTTACTATGCAAACTGCTCACTTTCGAGCAATGCACAAAAACAATTGTGTACAGTGCACACACAAAAAAAGAAAATAAACGGACCACACTGTATAACATTTGATTAAAAGAGTCGAATTTTTAAAATTCAATTTCTCAGGAACTACCTATTTGACTGATTTTTTGCTCAAATTTTGTATTTTGGCATGCAAAAAACTGTATACCCTACAATTAATTTTTTTTAACTTTTATTAAATAAAATAATAAAAAATAATTACTAAAAGTTATTTTTTGCATAAAATTATCTTTGGATAAACGAAGTTTATAATTGCATACAAACATTTTTCAATTCACTCAAGAAGTTCTTGAGATATGGCAAAATGAGCAAAACAAGAAATTAACATTAAGAGGTCCAATATTTGGACCGCTTCTCTGTCCAATCTATTGAGACCATAGAGGAGAAAATAGGGAAGAGACAGCCAGCCCATTGTTTGAGCTCTGAAAACTTGTTCAAAGATGAACTGATAAGGGGATTACCTTTCTGGCGAAAAATTCATAGCTGGTGGTCACATCGTACTGGAATATTTTGTCACTATTATGACTGTTTGTCACGAAATTGTAGCGGCTTAACCTCCATGATCCCCTGGCCCACAACGGACTATTGATTGAATGCTTTACTTAAAGAATTGTTAATACTACATACATCTTTTATTTAATTTTTTAAATTTTGCTTCAAAAGTAATGAGTTTTTTTAAAACATGTTTTCCAAACATATGTACATACCCTACAATTGGGGCCTGTCTTATAAATATTATTTTATAAGACATAAGACGCGATTATATTTAATTTTAATCAATGTATAAAATTTTATTGAGAATACGTACAACAATTTCAAAAAAATTAACTAACAGGACAACTAAAGTAGGAATTTTTTTATTTGAATATATATATATATATATTTTTATAAATTATTTATATACATATTTGTTATTTAAATATATATACATACATAATATATATGTATATCCATCTCTACCACTGGCATACAATTCATCTTTTGCTTAACTTCTCTGATATTTATTTATTATTTATCTGGTTTTCTTCGATTATTTATATCATAAAAACAAAATATTTTGCTTTATTTTAAAAAAAATATTAATATTGATACATGTTCTACAATTGGGGGTTCTAGTTCGTCTGCTATACAGTAATAATTTATTTTAACCAATGCATACGATTAAAATTTTAGTGAGTTACCATAAAATGATAAAAGTATTAAAACTAAAATAACAAATTTTAGTTCATGAGGATATACTACGTAGTTGTTGTTTGACATATTGATAGTTCTCGACTTAATTAACATTTAATGTAAAAAAATTTAATGATAATCAAATTTCCTTTTTATGTTAAGAAATAATAATAAATATATATAATAATAATAAATAGCCACACCTTTGAAAACACCTAGTTTTGAGAAAACACAGTAGTGTAAATTTAGTTTGTCAGTTAATATTTTCCTGAATAATAAATGAACAGTAATAAATATAAATTTCCTAAATAAATATGAATATCCAAACAATTATTCCTACATAATAAAATAATTTTCTAAGTAATAAAAAAATAAACATTCTTCAACTTATAAATTTTATTTAATGGTGAAATTTATTAAAATATGATTTTATTTTTGATCCAAGAATGTATTCCTTATATTAAAGTACAAAGTACACTCCATTTTTTACTAGACTCAATTTTTTATCAGAAGATGTCTCAGAATGGACTAATTCAGAATCTTCCACATCATTTATAAAGCTGGAAGCATTTAATGATCTCAATGTCTATGCAGAACAAGGAGTCAATCTAAGCACTGATTACATAGAATCAGTAAAATGTAAAAAAAAAACATAATCAAAATGTTCTGCAGGTCCTCAAGTAAGAGTGACATGAAAAGAGAAATCTGTGAAAAACATTAAAAAATGTAATGTAACTGTATGAATTAAAAATAAAAACCAATAATTTTTTAATATATCACACAAATATTTTATTAGAAAATATATTATTTTGATTTTATCCATTATATGCTTTTTTCAGAATTTCCACTTTTATAACACATTTATTTGACTGGTCCACAACCTAAACATCATTTTAATTTATTCAATTTTGTATATAATATTTTTTTAGCATTTTGAACAAAAATATCATAGGATGAAGTCACTTTTTTGAAATTTAAAAAATAAACATAGAGCGATCAATGTACCTAGTAAAAATAAAATTTCATGTTATAGTTTTAAAGCTATGAAATTAAAATTTAAAGCTATGTTAAAAGAATAACATACTTCCTAGAGAAAAATTTTAGACTTTTAATTTAAGGCATATTCGGAAAGCATAATGCATACTTCAAATATATACATATTATATATAGTAAAATGTATTGGCCTATAGTACTAATAAACTTTAAACACCAATAGCTCATAGAATTTTCAAACTGGCTGAATCAATATTTAATGAGCAAGTGGATCAATTTACATACATTTCCTAGAAAGTTTAGTAAATAATCTGGCCCACCTGAATTTATTATGCTAATTAATATATATATAGACAGTATAACAAAATGATGAATGCTTGAAAAAAAATATGATTTTCAAATTAAAAATTTTTATTTCACTAATAAAACTAACAAACAAGAAAGACAATTGTTAACAAGGTTATCATCTTGAACATCATCTCCACGCAAAGTTGATGAAGTTTTTGAGAGATGGGGGAAAAATCATATTATTTTTTTCAAACAGTCATTATTTTTCATGTATTTTGTTTAGTACTTTAATTTACACAAGATTAATTCTAGATTAATAATCTAGATGAAGATCAAGAAACCCTCCATAGAGTTTATACAGAGAACCAGTTGGAATAACTGCCAACAAGATGGATCATCCTAAAACTAGTCAAATACACTCCCTGGTATCCCTTAATGGTAGCACATGAAAAAGGCCCACAGAAAAGAAAAAATATTATTTATTTAACTAGGCAGTTTTCAATATTTTTCATTTTCTTATTAAAATATATAATGTGGTAGAAAGATGGTATACTTAACTTTCAACAAGCATTTGTGATTCCATTTCTATAAAAATAAAAGCTTTTATGGAAATTATCTCTTTTAATGGGGGATCACACCTTGTATATCTGATGGGGAAATGAAAGTTAAGAATTATTTCTAGTAGTCCTGCTGATAACCAAACCTTAAAATAAAATTTGTTTAGTTCTCAGCAATTCATACACAATGAGGAAAATGTTTTAAAGATATAAATGATATACCAAATACTTAAATACAACTTTTATTCAAATAAATTATTGCAGCTCATCACAATTTATAAGAAAAGCATATTAATGGCCATAAATATAAATACACGAGTAAGCAAGAGTATTCCAAATGTGGAAATTTTTTTACTATCACAGTAGAAAAATACATGTAATATGATATTAGAAAAGCAGTGATGAAAAATGAGGTAAAGAGTTCATCTATTTTACATGCTAAAATAACCTGAAAAAATATAAAACATGTTAAAAAGAATACATATTTTTATAAACTGCTTGCTATACTGTATATGTTAAACATTTGCAGAACGCTATTATTAGATAGATGTGCATGATTTAGGAATAAAACTCGTTTACAAAAATATTATGACTTGATTTCAAATGTTTATGAAAGATGAGATCAATCAGTGTTTCTTCATATAAGTATAATTTTACTTCAAAAAATAATTTAAAACATTTTAATCATTTGGTGTAATAAGTATTTCAGATTTTTATCTCTAGATTTTATAAACTTTTCAAATTACTTATTTATAAATATTAATTTGCTTGTCTTTCTAACAGTGTGTAAAATGTGTACATATTTTACAGGTGAGTAGTTAAAGCTTCATTTATTTATCTTATTTTCATGAACTTTTAAATAAGTACACCATTTGACACACTGAATCCAAAGCTTATTTTTAAAAAGATACTAAATTTATAGTTAATAAATAATAATCTTTTAAATTACATAGATAAAGTATTTGGAAATAAACATAAAATAATAACCATTTTAGTTCACCAAGGTATCTCAGATTAAACAATTGTTTGAATAAAAGACTAATATTGTGGGTTAATGCATATAATAAAAATATTGTGGGTTAATGCATATTTTAAAAATTTTCCTCCAACAGTTATTTATTAACCCTTTCGCGATGGGAAGCAAGAAAGAGCGCTTACCGCTGAGGCTGGCACTCTCTCTTGCACGTGTCTCTCCAAGGCCGGAGGATTTTTTGTTGTTAAAGCCTAATTCCATGAAATTACCGAAATATCAACACATTGTTTAATATTGTTCTGCACAGTATTTAAATGACATATGCTTTATATATATTTCTATGGATAATTTATTTACTTAAGTTATTTCCTGTTTAAATATATACATTTTACACATTTCATTTTCATTATGTACTTATCATTTAATAACATTTAAGATTACATATCTGAAAACTAAATACATGACTTAAAGATCTTTTTTTGTATGAAAAATTTTAAGACAGGGATCTACAAGATCTAACTATCCATTAAAAACTAAACCAAAAATCGAAAGAAGCGAGAGAAAAAACTACCCTGCTTACTGCAAACAAATACCACGTTCGAATTTAAAGAGCCGTCATAAAACATTCCTTTCCCCTAAAAACCACGTGAATGTACTCTCATCTTGAGTAGAAGGTCAAATCTACATGTATCTGAAACCATATGGACATACAATGCCATCTTTTGGAAGAAATTTTATTTTTTTAAAACGTTCTGAAACGCTGGCACAAATGAGTGACGGCCGGGGGTGAATGAGAAAACGCTCTGGCACACGGGTGTGTCTGCTGGGAAGTGAGCGTGTTTCTTGCTGGCACATATATGTGACAGTCGGCACGAAGGGGTTAAAAAAAAGCCTTATGAAATACAGACAAATCATCCTTATAGTAAACCATCATGTTGAGGAAATTAAAATCATAAAATCACTTTATTTATAATACATTAATTGAAATTAACCTGATAAGATTTTACTTATTAGAAGAAAAACAGTGCATTGCAACTGTTGATTGATTAATTTTTCGAAGTCATTTTCTTTTGGTTAAAAGTTTGACTATAGTACATACTGTGTGCAATAAGTGACATAATATTCAAAATTGAGATTATTATATATTTGAAATTTTCATATGCTAAGCAACATATTGCAAAAATTTTTCTTCCAAAATAAATTATATTTCATGAGATTTTTGAAATTCTTTTTTAGCATTGATAGAATCAGCAATAGAAAGAAAATATATGTCAACCGACTTTCTAGAAATCTAACATAAAGCATTTGTGTTGTTTTTTTAATTGCCAGCAGCAGAACAATCTCAACTATATATGATTTTCAACTTGTCTTTTAAGCTCTAAACTTCCCTATCAATATTTTTCATCACCCAACAATTGTGAGTTAATTATCAATTATGATTCTAGAAATAAATAGCGCAGTTAGTATTTTAAAAATACCACATTTGTAAGATAATTTTGAGCAATACATAGAACTAAAATGGCCAAAATATGTTTGTTTTTTTAAATTCTAAAAATATGTAGTTTTACTTGCAGCCTTATATTTATATTCATTTCAATCAGATCCTGGTAAATTTTAAATATATATAAGTGTATTGGATTGCTTGACCTACTGCAACATCAAATCTCTGATGAAAGGTAATTGAGCATCTATTAATGAGTATGAGGTTAATATGAAAAAAAACTTTAAAAAATCTAGAAATATGCAGTTTTGCTTATAACCTTATATTCACCTAAATCATATTCTAATAAATTTCAAATATTTAGAAGATATTTTTGTAAGCTTGACCTACAAAAATATTAAAAATGGGGGGGAAAGTTACAGAATACCTGCATTATTATTATTTATTTAAGAAATTTATATTGAATACCCATTCCCTTGCTTAAGTAATAATTCATGTTCATTGGATGAAAATTTTAGAGTAAATTTAGTCTGAGCAAAACAACTAACATCATATTTATAAAAAATATACCTCAACATTAAAAAACTTTGTGCAAAATGTTTACTGCTAAAATTTACTTACTTGCAATAATATTGCGACTGGTATAGCAAGCAAAATAGATAGTATCCTATAATAAATAAATCCTACAATAAATAAAATCCTACAAGTATATTAAAAGAATAAAGCTGTTCAATAAACTATGCAAGCTGAAAAGATCATTAAGCCCCTTTACATTTTGACTTGTAATATTGGTCATCCATTTAAATACTTTAAAATAGAATCACCAGTGGACCTCACTTTAGTATAAGTAGGCAAAAGCCTAGGAGCTGTAGAGTGAAAGAGGTCTCGTATTTAGTAAATGACTGCCCATATTAAAGCATAGGTCTACGAAAGATAATCGTGAGAGTTGCATATAAAAAAATAATGGAAAAAATTATAGGCCTTCATATTAATATTTCAGTAACATGTAACTTACAACTATCTCTCTCTTACTTCCTTATCCCAAAAAAATGTTTTTGTATTGATGTTGCTCCTTTAAGCCACCGTTTTTCCATAGATACTTGGTATGTGATGCTTTATATCATAGCAGATTGAGCTTAGCAGTGAAGTGGTAATAGGTAAGCTTTCAAATATACTAGGGAATCAGCGAGATCCGAAATAAATCTATTTAGTTGTACTTTGCAATATTTCTAAATATATAAACTGATATTTAAGAAAAATATTAGCTGATACTTGAAGAAAATATCTGCTTATACACTTATGAAAAATATCATGGATGCAGCTTTCTAAAATTTTAGGCTTGTTTTAAAAAACTATTCTGAATAAAAATGAAACGAATACATAGGAAAGAATACATATTGATCAATAAAATACATCGGAAAATCGATCTATATCATTTATTCAACAATCCGTAGTTAAAAAGGTGTTCTTATTAGTTTTCATTTTAACCATCTTATTGGTTTTCAGTTTTTAAGCAAGAAAATTAAGCAATTTTCTGTTTCTGGAAAAAAAATTACAACTACAGAAAAAAATTCATGAAAGTTGACTAACCAAAATAAATGTGTATAGTAAAGAATGGTTTTTGTCTATGATTATTCAGTATTAGAAACAAATAACAATATATTCACTAAGTTCATACAGCATGAACTACAATAAAGGTATTGGTGTTTTAATTTGGAGTGTAGCTAAATTTTTAAGTAATCGCCAATGCAAAGGAAAAAATTCACCATCTGATATTTGCTAAATGTAGCAAAAATTATGTTAATGTATCTTGTAGCATTCATAAAAAGACATTAAACAAATTTTTATTATTTTTGAAGTATATTGATAAATATTTTAGCTTATAATTGTTTCCTTTAATTTATAGTTTTTCATTGTATGAGTGATTCAAAGAAGTGAAATTATAAAAATAAAAACTCAGGTTGAATAAATATTATGTTAAAGTGCAAAAGATAGGATTTTCATTTTTAGGATTTTGTATGAAAACAAAAAGAAATAATAGGTATTTCTCACTCAAAGTGAAACTTTGATAAAAATAAATTAAACTTTGGTAAAATATTTTATTGTTCTTTGTTCAAAAGCCTAATACCTACGATTCAATTAAGATACTTTTATCATCAACAACTGTTTAGTTGTAATATAACTTTTAAGAAAAATACTTTTTTATTGTATTTACATTTATTAATTTTTTAATATTTTAAAAAGGTAAAAACAAATTTGAGTAAAAATTAAAAAAAACTTTCAAAATACATTGGGATGAATATGATTTGAATCCAAATGCATTAATTATAGTTCAGAGCTTTTGAATAGTTTATATAAAAAAAAAATTCTAAAAATTAATGGTTTATCATTGATATTTTTGAGCTAAACAACAGGGTAGCAAGAAAGAGGTTAAATGGAATCCCAATCCCTCTTGAAACAATAAAAAGAAAATAATGAAAAAAAACTTGAATAAAAAAATATTAATTTTAATTAAAACTATTCAATTTCATTTAATACAATATGTTGAATTTCACTACATTTCTGTATCATCTGCATGCATATCACATCACTTATAAAAATCTAATTATCTCTCTCTTAACATATAGGTGCGATTTTTAGAAAAATTCAATTTTACATTTATTTGCATTTAGTATTAAAAAAAGTACAGGTCAATATCAGATAAAAATAATAAACAACCTGTCAATTCTATTAAATGAACAGGGTCTGATTATCGCCTAGCCCAATTGGAATAGGCCTGAGGCCCACAATTTCAGAGAGGCCTCGAAAATTACGTAAAAAGTCTTCAATATTACTGTTTCATTCAAATATTGAAAGAAAGTTTTTCTCATAAAATGCATTTTGTTTAATTTCAAATTTTCTTTATATTGTGATACAACCAAACTCATGTGAACATTGCACTAATTAAATTTGAAAGTACTGTGAAGCAATTTTTATGCTACCGGCTTAAACAAATACAACAAGAATGCACAATAGCAAAGTCTCTAATAAATTATTAGCGTCAACAAAGAGCTATAAGCTTATTCTTAACAAATATGTAAAACTGTAGACGGAGAGCTACAATCTTTGATGTTGATGTTTTAAACAAACTTACACACTTCTACAATATAAAAATTTTGATTTTCTTGATAATTTTGGATTGATGAAACCTAATTATCAATCTGGTTGCGCAAAAAGAAAGGAAAGTCTTTAAATGATGAAGCCAACAAAAAAAAAAGAAATTCCTTATCAAAATAGTTCTCTGTTGATAAAGTAGAGCCATCTGTTTCTGATAAAAATGCTTTCATTGAGAGTTCAATTAAATTTTCTGTTTGAGAGTTTTAAATGTATCAATATTTTGAATATAACTTATCCATTGAATATGAGTTTTTAATTTTGTAAAAAATGTTTTACATCTAAATAAATTATTTAAATGTGTTTTCTATGAGTAAATATATTTTGGCTCTTTATTATTTTTTTTTTCTGTGTTGAAATGCTTACATGAATGCTGTGTTGAAAAGCTTAACATTTAGCAGACATGCTAAACTTATCGCTAAATCTAGTGAAGGGTGGGCTAGCTTTGGGTTGGTTTAAGCACAAAATAAAAAAGAATTACAGCTTACAATGAAAAATAATTCAGCTATTCAGTGACTTTTAGCAAAAATCACTGATTTCAATTGTTTTTGGTCACCAAATTATTTTTATTTCGACATACAACTGTTTTGTTGTTTTATATTTTGCTTTAACTAAACTTTATCTTAGAAAAATAATCTTCAATTGTCTGCTTTCAAAATTTCTTAGAATGTCTCTCTTGAATCATGCAGTTCAAAAGATTCTTTTTTATTGTTAGGACTACTCGTCAGTAATTTAGTTTCAAACTATTTTGTAAGCGGCCAGGAAAATTTAGTGAGCCTTGAGCCCACTAAATTTTGATATTGAGTAATACTAAAAACTAACTGCACTAAATTGAGTAATATTTTTTATAAAAGAAGTTTTGAATGCAACTAAACATTTAAAAAGAATTGTGAATGATCCTTTAGTTTACTTTCTATAACACGTGTATGCATATATTCACTTTTATAAATTTCATTATTTCATATATAGAAAAGTAATATTGCTCTATGAGAATTGCTCAGGTCAGAAAAAGTATGACACAAAATATCGGGTATAATAGAAGAATAGATAATAAACGTCAATTTCTTTTGTACATTTGTCGAAGCTTCTTCAGTCAGTTAGAGTAATCATTTTTCAGAAGTATTGAATCAAGACCTTGATACACAACCAAACCGGCAGATGACCCTCTAGGTCAGTGGTTCCCAAAAGTGCTATGCAAAACCCTAGGGTTCTGTGGAAGGATCACATGGATTCCAAAAGTATTTTATTTACATCCAATCAATAACCCACCTTTTTTTAGTATTTCAGTAGTTTATAAGAAATTATTTATGTATTGCCAATGAATGAAAATTACTAAAATTTAAATAAAATACATATTTTTTTTAGTAACAATACATTTATTTGTATAACTTAAAAATTGAATGAGTAATTGTCATCAAGCTTTTCAATTCAAAAAACTGAAATCAAAATAAAAGAATTACATTTCTATTCTCAACGTTTACAACAGTTATTTTTTAAAAATCGCAATTCAGCTGATTTAAATCATTTTCAGCAAATATATAGACCAGTAACGATTTCATAATTTAAAATATTTCATTCTTCCCATTAAATATTTTCAAAATAATTAGAAATCTTTTTTACTATTATATTCGCAGCTGTAAATGAACTCTTTTTATAATGCCAGTGTTCTGTTTAAACAAGTATGATCATTTAGGGTTGCATAACCTAAAAAAATTGGGAACCACTGCTCTAGGAAGAGGAGACACATTCAGGGGACATTATGGAGAATTGCACCCTTCAAAATGAATGAACAAAAAACAAGCAAGAGGGAAGAGTCGAGCCCTTGGTTTTATTTCTCATCACCACAGCTTTTTGCTGTTTATTGTAATTTTGCGATGCAATTAAAACCTTTCGGAAAAGTTCAGTTATTAATCAGTGTTTTTCTGATAAAACTGGAGTGACAAACTTATTGACAATTTTTCCTAACTCAATATTTCGTTACTAAAATTGGTTCTCTAATTGTTAAAATAAAATTAGATTAAATATATTACATGGCAAAAGAACTAAGATGCAGAGGTGCCCATCTTTCCGCTTTCCAAACTCACAACAAAAATACATTTGAAATTTTTATTTAAAAAACAATTTTAAGCTATATCTGATCTATCTTGGTTACATTCACAGCTAGAAATATTCTGTAAAACATTATTTTAGAAATCAAAATTAACATTGTGAGAAAAAATTATGTCTAAAAAGCACTGAAACACTTCATTTGGAGAGAAGCTGGTTTGATTTTTCTGAAAGCATATGAAAAATGGGCACTGACATGCACCAAATATGCAAAACATTGACATGCAAAAATCAACTATACTACTATCATGGATGGTTAAATAGATGATAGTGTTAGTTGATTTTTCTCAGTGTCACCAAATGTAACTTACTTTTAAGGTCAGAAGAGTTACATAAAATTATAACTGAATACTTTTTTTACACTGTTTGATATTTTCAGGAAAACATTCAGTTTTCTAGTATCAGCTATTTTACTTTTGGCAAATGATAACAAATAAACGAATAAATGGTTATAAAATAAAACATATTTTTATTCAAGTGATAAACTATTTCAGTAAAATTGTACTAAGCATGCATCTTTTTAATAATAAAATATTTTAATTACAATAAAGATTTAGTTTTATGCAATTTTATTACTAAAGGAAAGCATTATAACTAGTAGTATTTTAAACCTAAAAATTTTCATAGTGCCAAAAAACCCTATCGCATAACATAAAATTGATACAAAACATATTTTCGAAAGATAAAACTTATCTATTATTTCTTTATTAAATTTTAAAAATAGAATCTGCAAAGATTTCATTTTAAGAAAATAATCTTTTTGGTTTTTAAAAAAAGCTTTTAAAAGAACTTACACAATTTTGAATACATTACAGCATCTCTGCAGTAGACATGTCAAAAAGCAGACCGTTAAAAGTATAAATGCAGTCAATCCTAATGAGTGAAGAACACCTAAAGCATTATGCAGTAAAACTGAAAAACAAATAATAATGAATCATAATTTATTTATTTTATAACCTGTTCAAATAATCAATAGTTAATTCATAAAAAAAAATTTTTATTTAATAACCAGAAAATGCAACAATTTGTTGTGAAAGCCTCCACTTCATTTATGCTTAATTTTTATCTGATTGAAAAAACTAAAAATTAAAACATTATCAAGCTATTTTAAAAAAGTGAAAGAAAATTCAACCTATTCTTATAATTATTGGCAATTTTAAAGGTAAAATTCAATATTTTGAAAGCAAACAATTCCATAAAGAATGTTACAATAAAATTTCTTTATATATTTTGCACATTTTAATAATTTCTACACATCATATAATCAACATATTTTAACCTTAAATTCTGGCAATTTTCTGAGTGCAATACTTTCAGTTTAGCCAAACATCAATTTTTACTGCATCTATTGAGATAAATGTTCTGTTTTTCAAGCTGAATTGCTGTGCATAAGACTCTTTTCAGAAAAATGAGAATCTCTGGTATCTTATCTGCAGAGATTCACTTTTCTCACTCAATTTCTGTGTAATACAGTTTCTGTAGAAAACCTTGCAGTGGAAATTCAGTCCATTGTGTATGCGCTCAAAGGTATTGCTGAAGTCCTTTTTCTTATGTTCGGGACCATAGTAGAATTTTCGGCAATGCTAGAGCAGACCGGTTGACCAAAAACACGACTTGCCTGATATTGATTTATCGATGTCTATCGCATTGTCACACTGGAAACATGTAGCTTAGGAAAATAATATATGACTTGAATATCGACGGTAACACACATCTCATTGCTTTTCAGTTTCTTCAATATCTGATTTAATGCCTGGTCTCGATGATACTGAGGAAGATGAGCAAAAAATTTAAGATGATATAACATATCTTGTCAAGAGTTCGAAAGCAAAAAAACCATAAAACATTTGTGAATGTTAATCATAAAACAAATTTGTAAATGTAAGCAGAGAGGGATATTGTTGTATCTAAAAACAAAAAACACATAGGATTACATATTTTTTCTGGAATTCACCTGGTGTAAGTGTCAATTTTTCAAAAATAAACTTATATTTTGTTACATCGATTTTACCTTATCCCTCTTCATGTGTCATTTTTAACACTAGTTCGATGGAAAATATAAAATCAGGGTTCCACTGCATTTCAAAACATTACTGAAACTAGTCATATAAAAATAAATTTCATTAGAAATACCATAGCAAAGTAAGAAATACTTCCTAAAACTTACCAAAATAGGCAGTTGATATAGCCTGAAGCAGCATCTGAAAAGCAGACAAATTCTTTTAATGAAATTTATTTTTTAAAAAATGTAAAATAGCAATGTTATTAAAGTGTTCACAGAAGGTTATTTACTTTTAGGCAGACATTAGAAGTTTATCATACCTTATGCCACTAAGTTAAATTCTTACTAATTACCTCAATTTGTTGCATACAATAACACATTCCATAAATGCCTACTTTTAAGCATTTTATTTTTACATTCAAAGTCATAGTGAAATTTCCTATTTATTCCTTGGATTTCTAAATTTAATTTTAAATGATTTTAACCATCACTACAATATACATAGATTAATATTTATATAAATACATGCTAATTATGTGTTTTTATTTTTGAGCTCTTAACAAAATAAAATGGTATTTATGCTCGTTATTGTAGTTCAATTTATTTATTCTTGTAATTTATTGTTATTGTAGTTCATTAATTTTTTCATCTTAAGATTCAATTTATAAATATTATTAACTAGGAACATATTGATACTCTATATTTTTTTAATTGTGTAATATGAATTTATTTTAAAATATTATTGCTTATTATCCACATTTTATTTATTTTACCCTTCTTTTTAAGTCATGCAGTGCCTTATTTATCAAAATATATGTTTCCCCATTTTCTTTTTTTTTTTAACTTTTTGTAAACCGAAACCATCTCTGGGACCCATCTCCCTAATGAGTTATCTGGCTCTGCTTCTCCAGTTGTTATTTTTTGGCGTGTGTACCTGGATCTGGTCAGTTTGGTTGGTGTAGGAGTTAGTGTTCAATATGATTATCCTTGTTTTTCTTCCCTCTTTTTACCAGCTTTCTGCAGCTGAATGAGCTCTTATTACTTAAAAATATTTTGTTATATCTTAGTTCCCTTACCCTATGTGACTTTTTTTTTGTTTTTCTCACAGCATGTGAACTTTTTAATGCCCCTTAGACGGAAAGCATAAACTCTTGTCTGTCCCCTTCTGTTAATGGTCCTTGTTATTTTGTTCCCCCTTCACACAGGAGTGTTTTAGTCACATGATGCTACTTTACTTTACTTTTGCTAATTTTCTTCTTCCTGACAATTATGTCTTAAGGGGTAATGTGAGAACTGCCCACTTTTTTTCAATTGGCAATTTTGGTGACATCACTTACTTTTTTTTCTGATTGGGTCTTTACCAACGACTATCGTGGATTTTTAACGCACTGCATGACTGAAAAATAGAACCATTATTGCGAAATTATGGCTGGTGTTTTAATGAGAAGTGCGAGCTATTGAAAAGTTTCCGGTGTTGTTATGTATCACACCATAAAATATAATGAATATAATTTCGTGTCCTGTGTAGTTGTTGTGGATTGTCTATATTCAAAAGTTAACGGTCTATATTATTTAAGTGANAGCTATTGAAAAGTTTCCGGTGTTGTGGTGTATCACACCATAAAATATAATGAATATAATTTCGTGTCCTGTGTAGTTGTTGTGAATTGTCTATATTCAAAAGTTAACGGTCTATATTATTTAAGTGATTGTGTTTTCTCAATATTCCATCTGTATGTCATCCCTTCTCAATGTTTTCCTCCAAAACAAATAAAATAAATGAAGACACTTCAAAAAACTCTCTTATTTGTTTTCATCTAAATTACACAGCAGCAATGCTGTATAGTCGTCATGTTGGGTGAGTAGTCAAATGTCATCTTAAAATAAAATAGTTAGCACTGATAACAGTGGACTCACAAGAATGTTTTTACCATAGTTTCGAATATGTATTTTTTATTATGCTTGTTTTTGTTTCAAACTTTTTTCTGTTCTTTTTATGACCTAATGGACCTATTGGGTTACTCTGTTTTTTTTTTTTTTTTTAATTAAAGCTTTTACTACCACTATTCAGCCAATTAAAATGTAACATAAGAGTTAATAAGTAACTTTGTCAAGGTGATTTGATCATTAATTTTTATTTCATCTCTCATTATGATTATATAAATTTAACCATGAGCCAAACAAATTATCAGGAAGAGAAATATTTTATCTAAAAGAATAGATAATATATTACTTGTGTCTGAATCAATTGGCAAGTGCTTTATACGTAATGAAGAGAGGCGTTCCACTAACAAATATCAAGTATTTGAAATAATTAGAAAATAAAAACGGGGTAATTGTGCATTTTGTCAAAAGAAAGGTCATATAATGGTACAATGTTTAGCCTTTAATATCTATTGGACATATCTATTGAAATAATTAGAAAATAAAAACAGGGTAATTGTGCATTTTGTCAAAAGAAAGGTCATATAATGGTACAATGTTTAGCCTTTAAAAAAATTTTGAACATGACGGAGCAGCCCCAACACTCCAGTCAAAATTTGAATTAGCCAAGGAAGTTAACAAAAAATAATGGTAATTTAATCTCGCGTCAAGAGCACTAAAGTCTGGCTATTCACACTCTGAGCTTTCAGGGCCCCCAGTCACACAAAAATATTTTTTCAAAATTGTTAAATTCAAATGTGTCTGTACCTAAAGAAACTATTGTAAGAAAATTTTTGCAAACTTTTACTACAAAGTGTAAGCCAACTATGACTAATATTTTTGGTGATAACTTCCCTAAGGGGTGAGGTAAAATTTAAGGGCACTACTTCTAATCTTTTGTTGGACTCTGCTTCAAGTGAATCCATTTTTTAAAAAAAAGTATATATAAGGTTATCAAATCAATAACAAAAGTTAAAATTTTAAGTAGATCAGTGACAATAAAAACTGTCACTTCTGAGTTGACTTTCTCAGCATGTGCTGAAAGCAGTTTCAAAATTGAAAATGATAATTTTAGAGACTTATGTTACAGACTAACTTTAAACAAACGATATGTAATATTGATGAAAATCCATTTGCTGGCCTGTTAGGATATGTTTTTATTAAGATACAATGTCATGACAATTAATGTACTGACACTAAAAATAACTTAGATTTGATAACTTCAAAATGTCTTTATCACTGTCAAAATCTGAAAATTCCTTAAATATGCTAAATATTAAACAGGACAATAATGCTTATTTGAGTAAAAAGCAAACCAAATATCCCAACAAAACAATTGAAGTTAAAACTAAACAATTCAAATATTGGTGACAAACTAAGTTTATTCACCAATAATGTAAACAATTCCAATATTGAGGTTTTTAATTCCATTCATAATTTAAAAATTTAGAGTTTTATACATTAATCACTAATAATGGTACTTATAATGCACTTCCAGGAAGGCGCAGATTAACAAAGATACACAATTATCACGCATGTGATAGACTTGCCGAATTAATTGAAGTCGATTCATAATGAAACATAGGACAAATACCATCTACCTCATATCTTTAATGCAAAAATCCACTAATGAGTGGATACAAAAATTAAAATTAACTTCATTTCTGCACGTCCTGAGTCTACATTCTCATCTAAAGAAGTGAGAATTATGAAGAAAACCGGTAGTCAGATGCATCAAATCTAAGTCTGTGGAATCTTTCTTAGCCTATGTTAACAAAAAGCGGCGCATGGAGGTGACCGAAAGCACTAGGGTACCCAAGTAACATTGCAAGCATCCAGGTCGACTGCACCTTCAAAAGGAAGAAAAGGAGTGGCCATCGAAATTGAGCTCCATCAAAACTGAGTATACTGCTAGTTAGCTTAATGTCTATTTAAAGACACATATTACTACTGAGAGAAATCCCTTCATTAAAAATAGACAACACAATAGCTGTTAGCTAGACTAAACATCCAGAATATCAGACCTATAACCTTTTAATGCATTGGCAAACTAGCAAAAAATACAAACTCCAAGCTTGTGTTTCCATTTTTTTCTTTTTAATTATCTGATTTGTGCAGTAGTATATTTCAATTTTACCATAAAATCCACTAATATTGATTTGTCAATATTGTGTATATGTCAAAAATATATCAAATCATGGACGTGAGATTATCTCAAATGATATTAAGTCAAATGAATATTATGATATCAAAGTAGAAGATTGATGGAATGACAGATATTTATATAATCAAATTGAATTTTTAATTTTCAATAAAAACTACCAAATCACAGAGTACTTGAAAGCCAAAAATAAGTAAAAATTACTTTCAAATTTAGACATGAATATCCTTCTAGTCGAAATTAATTTTGGATGGATGCACTTAATATGCAAGGTAATGATAGAAAAAATAAATCTTTTTATGTATAGTAAAAGCATAAAAGAATAACAAATAAAATAAAAGAATGAAAAATAAATAAAATGAAAGAATTAAAACAGAAAATCTTTTCTAAGAAGGAAAATACTATTATACTTAAACACATATTATAAAATATTATTTTAAATTATATCAAGTAAACAGTTCAATACCATACGGTAAGTATGGTTATTTGCTGTGTTGGCTGAGAGCAGAGAAAAGACTGGAATAGTAAAAAAGCTTCAGTGCCTCAGAGTAGACAATAAATGCAAAAGATTAAAAAACTGTTAGTATTTAAATTTAATTTTAAAATGATAATGAACTACAAATATTAAGATATTTACAAAAGAAAAATTTATTTTAAAAAATAAATTTTAACTTAACTAGTTAACAAAAACCATTGAAATGTATTATTTATAATATGCCATAGATATATTGTAGTGAAATGAAATGACAGATATTTATATAATCAGCTTAAATTTTTAACTTTCTGTAAAAAAATTGCAAACTTAAATGTATTATAGCCATAAATATGAAATAGTATTGAAAAGTCTAAAAAAATTACATTAAAATTACTCTGTAAGTAGTTAAAAATTATATAGAACTTATTTTATTTTTTCAATTTGAATAAATTATAAATATAATGATACTTACAACAGCAATCATTAAAAATTTTTGTAAGAATTTATTTTCTCTTCCAAAAAATAAGCATATGTAAGACATCAAAAAAGTCACATATGCCAAAGTGGCAAACCATTCACTAGAAAAAAAATTTAAATTTTAGTAATCATCAGAATCAATACATTTCTCAGAATCAATACATTTACATGAAAAGCAATCAATACATTTCTTTATAATATATCAGAAAGAAAAGCAAATAAAATATTACATTCTTTCAATATATTGTTAGTATAGGAAGAAAACTTATTGAAATTGCATAGAACATGCATAAACCAGGAGTTAATCTAACAATAACAGATCTACTATAACAAAACACTATATCAATCTACTATTACTAAACATTTAAAGGAACATAGTTGGAATAACACACATTTAAGTAATGTCACCTTGATAGCATTAGATGTATTTTATACAGATTTATTACGCATAAATTATGTAATTTAATTGTGTAAGTTGAATAGTTTCAGAACTTTTTTACTTTTTAGCACAAAGATTTTATAAAACAATTGCCTGTATAGAGATAGTAAATTTTAAAAAAATCATATTGTTTCCTTCAAGCACATAACAATGCTTTCTTTTAATAATAATAAACTATGTAAATCTATTACAGCAGATACTTAATATAATGAGCATTGTAATCCAAGCAAAAATTAAGATGTTATATCATGAGTGCAAAAAAATATGGTAAATATGTCTCATAGGTAAAAAATACTTGATGAATTTTAACAAAGCCATTACTTAAATGAGAATTTGGTGATAACCCAACAATTTTTCTTCATTAATAAATTTGTCAAAGTACTCTTTAAAATAATATTTCATAGGTAAAAAAAGCATTAAAAATAATATACTAATTTGGGGTTGCCATTTTTAATAAATAACATATGTCACGAACAAGATAACTGCAAAGATCACATATTTAAACTTGAAGATAAACCACACAAGGGACATTTCACAAAAAGAGTGAATACAATTTTCAAGCAAGAGAAGTNAGGCAGAGGCAGGCCTGGAGGAAGTTGATTGAGAAGGCCAGGGCCCACCCGGGGCTGTCGTGCCATTGAGGAAGGAAGGAAGGAAGGATATCCTTTAAAAAGGAAATTACACAGATAATGAATGAAAATAAATTATGAACACATATGATTTATGATAAGATTTTGGAGGTCATGTCATACTTCTTTCATTCAAAGTTAATTCAAGGTGTTCTGCACTTATTATGAAAGAAAATAATGAAAATAATCATCAAAGAAAATAATGATTTAAATATTTTTTTCAAAATCAAATCACTGAATTTCAGTTGCTATATTTGAAAAAACAGTTCAGTGCAGATATTCCAATGGACATTAAAATAACATTATGTCTATGGAATAGCAAACCAGGGTTGGCAGGTTTTTGACATGTGACAGTTTTTGACAGTTTAATCCATGGTTTAAACTGTCACGTCAAAAACCTCACTGTCAAAAATGTCGAAAATGTCAAAAACCTATATTCATATGTGAAATTTAGTTAATACATAAAATTTATATATTTTTTAAAGTATAGTGTTTCTNGACGGGTTTTTGACGGTTTAAACCAGTATTATACCCTTGTCATGTCAAAAACCACTTTTTGACGTCAAAAACCCAACCCTGTAGCAAACGATGACTTAAAGAGTCACAGTAATAGGGGGATTGCACCAAAGAGTCTAAATTATAATTTATAAAAAATATACATATTTAAAAGTCAATGTAGCAAAAACTTTAGAAAAAATTCCTTAACAACTTTGCTTGATAAAATTTACTGAAAAATTTTTCCAACAGTATATGCATAAAAATGAATGGTTGTCATAACTTAAAGACATAGCTATGGGAGAAAGAAAAAAAAAAAAGAGTTTAAGATCAATATGTAAAAAAAATCATATACATATTTCAAAGCAATCTCGCATTATAAAACATAAAAATGATTCTTCAGGAAGAACAAATAATTTACATTCTACAAACATTTAACTTTTAAGTTGTCAAATTAAAAATCTGAGAAAAATTAACTTACTTTTCACTTAAATAAAATCTACATAAAGGGAGCATCTGAAATATTGAAGTGGCTAGTGCAATGATTAAGTAAAAAAATCCAAGTGTTCCACAGAGTTTCAGAGAAATATCTAAAATAGCAACAAAAAAAATTTGCTTTAGAAAGTTTAAAAATATAATGCATGTTTGAAAGTCTCATTCATTATCAGGCCCAACCTAACTACTAAGACGAAACTTAAGAACACCTAAGGGGACCACATGTATATTTGTACTATTTTCTATTTCGATAAGAATATAAATTTGTCTGATTGAATTAAAATTAACAAAAGTAACCAATCAGCAAATTTTCTGGACTTCACATTAAATATTTAAGATAAAAAGACTTCCTTGAAAATTTTTGGCAAAAGAAATGTTTAATTTTCTTTTCTTTTGTTAAAAAAAGCAACAAAAGCTAGGATTTTAAGTTCTAAATTTTGTACAGTGTGCAAAATAAAATAAAAAACAGAATGCCTAGAACACTTTATCTAATAATTTTTATCTTATAACACTTTATCCAATAATCAGATTTTCATGTCAATCAGGCCTCAGTCTTAATGGGATGAGAACCTAGCTTTAAATATACAGCTAATATTCCAAATTATGAAATCAGAAACTAAAATATACTTTATAAGAATAAACATATCTTTTTTTAAAAAAATTCAGATTCTAAACCTTTGAACTGACTTAGAAGTAGATGTAATTTGGAAAATATGGTCCCAATAGCTTTGTCAAGAGAGCGGTCAACGTTTTACATTAAATTCAATTTTTAGATATTTTGTCATATCTCATAAACTTTTTGATCAAATCAAGCAATTTTGCACACAATTGCAAAACTGGTTTATCCAATGATAATCCCATTTTAAAAATTATTTTTATAACTACTTATTATCTTACATATTTTAATATTTCTCTTGATCAAAAAGATTTTGAATTGTAAGGTACACAAATTTAATGTGTTTATTTTTAAAAGATTTTCCAATATTTTTTGAGAAACAAAAATTTAGAAATACATTGGAACTCTGATTTTAAGTTTTCTGTCAGATAGCATTAAAAAATGCACAAAGCAAGATAACGTAAAATCAAGGTAAAAAAAGTTATGCATATTTTTCTAAAATTGATAGATGAAAATTGTGTAATCTTTACATGTTTTGTGTTTTTAGATACAATTGTAACAATATATCTCTCTTAATGCTTACAATTTTTTGTTTTTCAATTTTGTTACGAATTAGACAAAATATTAAAATTAGTAAAGTAAAAAAGGTAATTGACATTAACTATGTATATCAAGAAGTAAAATAATGTAATGACAAATGATTCATAAAATACAAATTATAAATAAAAAATAAAGAGTTTAATAATAAAATTATTAATTAAACATTTTGATGCTAATTGCATTTTTAAAACAAATAGTGAAAAACAGTATTAAAATAACTGACAACTTAAACTTTAAAGTTTCGAATAGAAAAAGCAATTGCAGATAAATTTTACTTTTTTAATTTATAACTGCCAAAACTTTCACAGAAATGTACAATTTATCTTTGGGGAATATTTCCATATCGTGATCTGCCGCACCAACTACTATTGCCAAGGTGCCAAATAGATTTTAAACTTGCAAATTTTTTTTTAAAAAAAACATGTAGATGTTTGCCCGAGGTTGGTTAGGAGTTATACCTTTCGAATTGTTCCCTTTCTGTGATGTTTCTTTTTAGTTTCTAGCGGGCCGCTGCCTGGAAGTTGCCAAGACTTGGCTATTATTCTGCCACAGATTACGACACGGAAATCTTCCCTATCTTTGAACATGCAGCAACATATTTACTGTTTAATATAGAGTAAACATATTCCTTTCATTTAATTTAGTCTCCTTTTTTTTTCTTCTTTCAGTGTATTCCTTTACCTGATGAGAGAAAGCTCATTTCCTCAGAAAAGTATAGCTGTATTTTTGTGTGCATGGTGCTTTAAGAAGTTTTAGTAAATATTCTAAACATATAAAAACGCTTTGAGTTTGAAACATTGCAAATTTAGTCAACTTCTTTTATGATAAAATAAATTTTTACTGAAACAGACAAGCATTTATCAACATATTTACAAAATCAAGATTACATTTTACAAAACAATTTCAAAAACAAACCTGGTTTTAAAAGAAAATTGGAATCCATCAACGTTGATTTTTTTTCTGTAATATGTATTATAAATTGCTCTTTGGTCAAAGCCATGTAAATGCATTCCAGCTACTTGTCAAATCTAATAAAAGAAATGAACAGAAAATGTAGCAAAACATAGTTTGCAATAAGAGGTAAAATTTGATAAAAACTTCGACATAAAAATTAGGAGATACCTAACAACGAAGAGAACTTGGATATTGAATATTTATTAAAATAAAATCTTGTATTTATATTGACAAAGAAAGAAAAAAACCGTCCCAACAAATGGAATTATTATGAACTCGATGTTTATTATCTTTTTAATGTGGGCAAATTCGATTCAGTATAATACAAGTGAAAAAGAGACGTCAATTCATAACCATTTATGTCACCAAACTTTTTTTCCAAATCTATAATGAAGTCAGTAGAATTATTATTTACGAAGCCACTTAAATTTGTGAGAAATAAGTAAAATCCCTTTCCTTTTTTCTTTGAATGAGTCAACAATATTTCCATATGGTGATCTGTTGCGCCAACTATAATCGCCAAGGTGCTAATAGATTTTAAACTTGCAAATTTAAAGTACTACGATTATTTAAATTCGTAAATTTTTCTCTTTAAATTTTAACCCTAACTTCTGCTTGGTTATCACAAAGGATTAATGTACAATTTTAAATCAGCAAAAAAATCTTTTCTATCTATACACACAGAGGCTTCTCAAAAAAAGTTAGTAAAATTTAACACGCTAGTCGCATTATAAGTTGGTTTTTAATACAATTCTTTCTCTAAATTTATTTATGTATAATCTTTACTAGATGGCAGCACCAGTAACAAAAAAAAGCAATCACTGTTGAAAATGATTCGATTAAAAAATATCACAGCCTATTTATGTAAAAAAAATCATTATCATTACCTATTTATGTAAAAAAAATCATTATCAAAATTAGCATTATGTAAATTACACTAAAAAAAATCAATTATTTGTTTAAAGAATAGATTTATTTATCCATATAATAAATGTAATTTTAGTTTCAAATGCTCGGTCTACTAAATGTCAATCTTAATGGTTCTTGGGGGTAACCTCAAATATGCTAATTATGTAGTATTAACGAAATCGGACACAAAAACGTGCTTCCTCTGAATAAACAAAATATTTTTTTAAACATATATAGATTCTTAACCTTCAAAATATAGGGGTAGCCGCAATCTGTAAAATATGGTCCCCATCTTGGCAGAGCAATCCAAACAGGGCAGTCTTAATAGCATGCAGGGCCCCGCAGGCACAAAAATGTTTTAGATTCTATAACATACCATAATATTTAAAAACGAATTATAAAACTTCACATACATAAAATAAATCATTTTTAAGATATGATGCAATAATTTAAACTAATTTAAACACATTTTGATTACCCCTAAAAACTCAAATAAAGCATTTTTAAACTATGTATAATTTTTTAAAAAAATTTAATGCTAACCAGTTGTAATTCTCAAATAATAAAATTATTTTCAAAATTATGGAAGTTATTTAAAATAACTAAATTAAACTAAATAGACATAAAGGTATAACAAATTAAAATAAATTCAAAAGCTATGAATTATTTTGTCAAACTAAACAGTTATTAAAACATCTTTTAATGCCCATCAAGTACCTAAAATTTTCATTGGAACGTAGTAAAATAGATTTTGGTTGCTTTTTTTAAGTTTTCTTGTTGATAAAGTATTCAAATTATTGATGATTGCATGATAATCAAGCACTATTTGAAGAAAAAAAATGCACACTTCTTATAATGGAATATATTTATTTTAAAAAATATATAAGGCAATGTTGTTTATTCTTTAAACACAATTTATAAAAAGGAAGATTTTCAAGGGCCCCTTGAGTGTCTGGGTCCCCCGGGCACTGCTCAGGTGTGTGCCCATGCGTAAAGACGGTACTGGATCCTAAGTTCGGACCCCTTAATGTTAATTTCACTTTTTGCGTTTTTAGTCACATTTATTTTTAAAAAATTGCACCCACTCATAAAAACCAATTTACCCAAAGATAATTTGTGCAAAAAAGAATTTTTAATAGTTATTTTTTATTAAAAAATAATTGATAACTGTTAAAAAAAATTCACCCTTGAATAAATTAAATAATAAAAATTATTTAATTTATTCAAGGATGAAAAAATTTTGAATTATGAGGTATGAATTTTTTATACCATATTTATTTACATATTTTTCTATTGAAAAATCTAAAGTTTCAACTGTTTTTATCTAGTAGAAGCCGAGAAAAATTAAAATTAATTATTTTTGAAAATGTAATTTGGCGACAATAAAGAAATAATTAAATGGGGCGATTAATATTTAAATGTAGTTAACTTACAAAAAACTTGACTTAGCGAGCGTAGCTTAATATTTTATTCATATTTTTTTCGCTAATGACCGATTGCTGACCTTTTTTTTTATTTTTTTTTCTTAATTATGCAAAATGCGATGATTCTTTTTAGTCGTCTAAAAATTTCTTTGTAATTTAGTAAAGAAATTCGAATAAAACATTTTATTCAATAAATATCGAGTTTTGTAAAAGGATGTTTCTGATGTGATTATATTTAATGTGTATTTTATTTTTTAGCTGAAGTTTAAATGATTGATACTATTTCAAAAATATACTTACGTATACATAGATTTGGAATAATATATTTACCAATTTCTTCGTTATATATTTTATGATTATTAATACTTACGTGGTCAACATTTTTAAGTATCTTATATATCGTCTTTATCTTAAAATAAATTTTTCAATTACCAGTACACGCGTGGTTCGCAGAATTATTTTATCAACTATTTTATTAAATTTTAACATTTCTCTAAATCTTATTCTTCACGCTACCATATATATTATTTTTCCATTAATATACTAAGCAGTTGTTTTAGTACTTTAATTTAGGTTTTCCTTTAAAGTAAAATTCCCTTTTAAATTATTGTCAAGTTTTCATTGAAACAAAATTTAGAACTATTGCCTGCTAGCTGAGAATAAAATCTTGTTCAGAAATTAAGATTCTGCTGTTTAAAATTATTCGATGCAGAAAAGCTGACTATTCACTAAGCATACTATTTTTTAGAAGAATGAAGATAAATTATTGATTGTCTTTTAATGTTTTATAAGTCACTACAAGGAGTTTAAAGATACCGAACAAAAAGAGCTGTCGAATTCGCTGCCGAAATTTTTAAGCTTCTTAAATATCATCCTAACATCTTAATTGTGAAATAAAATTTTTAATTACCTGGTCACGTGTGATTCCTAGAACTACTAAACTAATTGTTTCATTATATTTTTTACTCTTTCTTAGTGCAACCAAGTAGATTTTTGTTCTTCTTCCGAAAAAATACTAAACTATTTTGTTTAATTTTTACCAAAAATGTTTTTCTTTAAATTAACACTCGTTGTAAGTAATTGCTAAGTTTTTTTTTTTTTTTTTGGTAAGTCTTAAAACTATAACCGACGCCCGGTGGCTGAGCGGTAGCGTGCCACAGGTCGCTGGTTCGATTCTCGGTCAGGGCAAGGTTGACTCAACCTTTCATCCCTTCAGTGGGTCGATAAATGAGTACCAAGCATGCTTGGGAACTAAACACTGGGGGTTCCGCGTTCGGCTGACCACCTGACTGGAACATATGCTTCTGCACCCCAGAGCCCAAGGTCAAGAAAACTGAGATGGGCACAGTAGGCCTTGGCCCTCTATGGGCTGTCGCGCCACTGAGTTTGAAACTATAACCAGTTAACTGATAAGATTTCAGGAACATTTTCCATGTTGAAATTACTGAGTACAAAACGTCTGACAACTAAATAAGTGCGCGCTTTTCTCTAAGATTGAACAAATAAATTATTTACTTTATTGTTTCTTATTTGTTTGGTTTGTGAAAAGTAAATACATATTAGTGCAACTCAAAAAACCACAACCGTTTGCTTTGTTTTTCAAATGAGCAAATTCGAACCGCAATTTTATTTTGACGTTATTTTAACAAAGCTGCTCTTTTAAAAAAAGATGTTAAAAAAATTTACTTTTGTTAAAATTATTTTTCAACTTCAGCATAATTTCCAAGATATTATTAAAGCATAATTTGTTATTAGGAAAATGCCTTATTTTGTTAAAAAGCAACAACTAAAGATTGAAAATTGTAAAAAGATTTCCGATTCCGTGATTTGAAAAATGTAAAAAAAGGAACAAATTTCGAATTTATTTCGATTAAAAAAAAATGAAACTGATACACAGCGAGAAGGTCAACATACTTTTTACAGAAACTGTGAATACCAATTTTTCCTACATTTCGTCATAAGAGGATAAGAATGATATTGCTCCAAGGAACCTACTCAATAATTTCGTTATATCCAGAATTGAAATCTGTTTGAACGAAACATATTATTCCTTTAAAGCTATAACAAGAAAAAATTTGACCATTATTATTTATCTAAGCCTAATCTATTAATTTAATGATAGCGGTATCAAGGTTTAGGATATGCGATGGATGCCCTGTTTACTACGCTACTGGCCATTAAAATTGTTACACCAGGAAGGCGACTCACCTCGAACGTGAAATTTGCAGGACGGATAAAGCATGTTGTGGTATGCAAATGATAAGCTTATCAGCGCATTCATGCAAAGCAAGCGGCGGTAGCGACACCTACAATGTGTGTAAAAGACGAGATTTGACAGTAAGTTTCTCATACAGAAATTGAATTTGAACTTTGTTCTTGGGTAAAAAGTTTTTGTTATGCCTCGTGTAAGAAGGAGAAATGTCTACCAGCACGCGGAGTTTGATCGAGGTAGAATTGTGGCCTACCGGGATTGCAGTTTATCATACCGAAGTATTGCTGCTCGCGTTGGTCGAGATCCCATAACTCTTAGCAGAATACGGAATCGATGGGTTCATGACGGTCAAATGCATGGCCGGATTTACGTATAAGCTAAATAAGCTGTAGCTTGGGGCCCCGAGATGGCAAGGGCTCCCCAGATCCCACTTTTTTTTTCTTTTTAAAGAAAGTTTTATTCGGAGCTGGGGCCCTCTGAAGTCCAAAATACATTCTTTTCTTTCTTTTTTACATTGTCGGATGCTTTTCAAAATCTAATCGAAGTGTTTACAAATATAAAATAATTGTTTCTCTTCACTTTTCTAACCAAAAGAGCAATAAAATGCTCTTTTGACTGATGAAATATCTCCTCTTTCGCAACTACCACCTAAAGAGTTGTCAAATAGCCGCCTCATTTTACACTGGAGCTTCTTTAAATTGCCTTGGGCATTTTTGTCCTTACTTCGGATATCGACAGAAACACCCTTTTTTCTGATTTCTAGTCATAAATTGCTTGGAACAAAAAATTTCTAGGGCAGTAAATAGGGGGAGGATCTTGTCAATATTTTTTTATATAAAAAAACTTATAAAATATATTAAAAAAACTTTTCTTCAAAAATACACACTTTTAATGTAAATAAAATGTAAGGTATTAATTTCTAATTTCTTACTATTTCTAAATTCATAGCATCGAAATATTTATTTAGATGTACAGAAGAAAATTAAGTGAATTTGATATACTTAGTTTAATTTCATTGTGTTATACAAATAATTTCTCTGCAATATTAATATTTAAAATAAGTGTAAAAGTCAAAGTATAAGACAATAGCCTTATTTCCAAGATTGGACTTGACGTTCAATGTTAAGGTCCATTTTTAGTATTTATGTCTAAATAGTTAGTGCGGAGCAACATCTTATATTATGCTTCTTCTCGTTCTAAGAAAAACTGAAAA